CTTTTTTGGGGGGAGAAAATGAACACACTTTTTCATATCAGGTTCATTTGTAAATGATCTGTTTAAACAGATGCGTCATGGCGTCCATACACAGGCTCTACAATCAACCCAACCTGTTACAATTTCAATTCACAACAATGTGTACAAATATATTTCAATTTACATATAACTTGCAATCCCGATTAAACAGAAAGCAAATTATAGCTAATATGAAACTCTTCCTGAAATTTTCAATTTTGTTATTTGGTCAAACTTTACATTTTCATTTTTATCTATTTCAAAAATCTGAATAACTGGGATATGCACATTAATAATTATCCATTTCCAATTGATTTTTTTTATCTCATTGTGTCTCAAGTGCAAAGGAGAAAACAGTGTATATAAGACGGGTTTGATTTTAAGAAAAGACTCCCTCCCCGCTGTCAAGAGTCTAACGGCATGTTTTAGCACAAGCAGGAAATCAACCCTTTGTACGCTGAATCAATTTACTGTCTTCGAAGGCCTTGACCTTTAAAAGGTCAAATAAAAATGATCACAATTGACCTTTACTATTTACTTCACAATTTCTTATTGAGTAATGTTTTTTACCGTTATACCACATGAAATAAAGTTTTTAGTGTTTGTTAATTATTAAACATGATTTACTTATTGGCTACAATGGTGGTCATCCCTGATTTCAAAATGGACACCCTTTTCTAAACAAATATAAGTGAAGTGCTAATAAACAAAATGATTTTTTAAATTATCAAAACTATGAAAATGATGATATAAGCAACATGTCATGTAGAATTATACATAATATGTAGGTATACTGAATTCCATCATTCAGGTCATTCTTAATGGACAATCTATGTCAGGTATCTAATACACAAAATGTCGAAAAAAATTGCATAGTTTTATTCACCATTAAGTCTTTAATTTTGGTAAAATAACATGTGTGTAAACCTTTATGGACACTAAGCAATCTTATAATTTGAATGTCAAAAGTCAAGTTCAGTATGCTAATATTAAAACAAAATGCCTTTCATCTTCACATGCTAGATACTATGTCTCTGTGCCCGCATGTCATTGCAACAACACGCTTCAAAAAAGAAAAAGAAGAATAACTGAATAATGTTCAAAACGGCAAAATTGAAAATGCTGCAGGCTGATAGCTCCGGCTTAAGCAGAAATCAACATTCAAACATAGAAATTGTGAAATTTGTTTATACATACTTTCTTTCAACCTGAGCCAACAGTCAAACAAAATTTCGGTTTTTGGTTACTTTTTTATTTGTATCATTTTTGTTGTATTAGTGTAGCTACTTTATAAAGTGTCGTCTTGATTTCAGTGATTAACTCTAAACTTGCCTAGATTTATACAACAACATGATTTAAAATCATATCATCTATCTAAATGGAAATACAAGTAAACTTTAATTAATGCAAATGTCATTTTAAGCTTTATTATGTTTCACTTTTGAAAAAAGACCCGTAAACAGCGGTTTTATTGTAAACCATAAACAGCCTACAGGCTTGTAATGTCTTATGGTATATGAATAATACAGAGTGAAATATTATAAAGGTCTACCGAGGATATTCATGCCATTCGCCATTACCTTTTCATATTTCACATTAACACGAAGTTACTGTACAAGAGTTGACCATTTGTACCTATGCACCGTCTGCCGTAGGCCAAATAAAACAGAGATTTTAATTCCACATGATAGCAAAGTGGACGACAGAAGTCCTCATAAAGGGCGTCTTAGGGCCATGTTTTTTGTCGGCTACCTACATATAGAACTGAAATACTATCTTCATCTAAACCAGTGTGTAGGCCTTTATAGGATAAATACTATAAGGAAGAAACATTAGACCTAATGTTCAAGAAGGAGCCTATATTATGAGAAAATATGTTTCGAATACCCACCTTGCTGGCGATTCCTGGGATTTTTGAAAATGCTTATTCTTTTTTATTCCCTGGATTTACAGCTAAAAATTAATTCGGAATCAAGAATTCCTTCCGATTTCTATCACGTAAAATCATATGACAGTTTGGTATTTTGTAAGATAATTTCTAAATATTCATGTTATTCATTTATTCATTAACATTGTTTTATCAATGAGTAAAAACTTAACTGATAGAGAAAAGCCGAATATAAAACAATTTAATAAAAAATATAGTACATATATTTTGTTTGAAGGCAATCGGTTTTATGGTAGTTTGTGTGGAATGTTGATTTACCGAATATTGTGACAGTTTTACATCAGAAACTTTCGTCTGCAGTTTAAACATACGTTGTTGTGGTTGTATTGATAGGAGACTTTGTTCATTTCGACGACTGTTTTGAATGCTCTAAAGAAAATACATTAAGTGTTCTTATCTCTAACAGGCCTACAAAAGTTCATGATGAACAATGTCTTTCGTCCGCCAATATATAAATGATATACAATTCTGGTAAAATCCAAATAACCATTGAAAAGTTTATAAGAATATCTGCTCATCAGATTCATCATCGCTTGCTGCATTTCTTGCTAGGACGCCCTCTGATGCTTTACATCAATGCTTTTCTTGTTATATTATGATTTACCATTTGCCGCGAACATGTTTAACGAAAATTTGGAAAAATTAAGTCGATGAAAGTTTTTGTTGTGGCTTATTTACATATGGATATTTCTTACCATGATAGTTGTTGATATTTAAAAAAAGAAAAAGAAAGAGAAACATTATAGGTATAAAAGGAAATGTACATGTTTTGATATGTTTTATTATCTAATATAATACTGACTACAGTAGTTACACAAACAGAACAATGTTGCACTTTTGTCATGTAACATTACAAGTCTTTTAAGTCTTGATTGTATTGGAATTGCTTTCCTTACCAGGCAGGCATCAGTAAAAACATATTTTTTTAATTTAATATCTGGTCCCTCTCTCATGGCCAGTGCATACAATAAGTATAATTATGCAAATTTAAATGATTTACAAAACATCCAGAATAATGTACAATAGAACTTAATCTAAAAAGAAAATGATCTGTGCCTAGAATGTTTTGGTAAGGTATCTGTTTTGGGTGCATTTTTTGTGCGGAGCTTCTCAATTGCGGCACATTGCAGCAACATTTGAACTTGTTTAAATAGATTCGTGAATTCAGACCACCCACTTAAGACCTGTAACAAAATTGTGTATTTGATCTATGGGCTGTTGAACTGGCTATTTCGTACAACATGCCCTAGTACATGTTATTGCACAATTAACATAAAAATATCATTTCTCTTTGAAATAAAAATATTTTCTCTGTTTGAAGGATAACTAATAATTTAAAGTACATCCTTTCATATATTGTTTAAAGCAGCACGTTTATGCTAAATTATTTTAAAATCCAACTATGAATGACGGTACCCTAAAATAGACAACGTTTTTCAAGCAATTTTAGGTCTAACTTTAAGCATAGAGCTTCAAACCTTGGACTAGTTTGTGATATTGTCTCATTGTGCCACAAATTAGTGCAATTTATTTAAAAAGCCATCCAAAAATGACACTGATGAACGGGACTTAAAGCAAACAGACAGACAGGCATGTTCTTACTGAGTTGACGTGTACGTATGGTTGTTCTATATCAGATTTTGGACCCTTTCAGTTTACTTATCGTGAGGGCAGGAAAACGGACCGCGACTGATATATCATATTCAGATGCTCGTTTATTGGTTACTTTTTTCTGGGGTTTCATACTTTGACAACAGGGAACGAGATTGTTTTGGTCTATGATACAAAATAAAAAGAACATCAACACACTATACTCTGAGGTTAAGCCCCTCGTACAGATAGCCTTTATGTTAGCCTATTACTTGTACATGCATCTATTGACCACTTAACCATTTACTTATAAAGCAATATACACTATACGCTTAACTTACAAATATACATGTAGCTCCAAAATACGACAACTATAAACAACGACATTTAAACATAATACGGTGTATAAAATATTTATTTTGGATCAGACTCTGTAAATTATATCTCTGTCACTATTAACTTTCTGTACTGCATTTACTGTAAATTACAAGCATCAGTGCATAACGAATAGAGACAGTGATTTCTAGGAATTACTATAAGATATGAAAGTATGATTCTATAATCAAGAATAATACAAATTTCTCTTAATAACTTTTAAAATATTCACAACTGTTTTAATTGAAAAGTTGGCTTAATTTAATCTTATAAAAAAACAAATAAATAAAACATTCAAATATCAATCTCTCAATCCTTTTTAATTATCACATTCTTAATAAGTATAATACGAGTATATAGGTCTACTTCATACAAAAATGACCAACAAAATTAATATCATTACACAAAGAATGACTCTAAGTTTTGGATGGAAAGGACATGACTGACTGCTACAAGGGACATAATTTTTCAAATGTCGAGACTAAACTCAAGCAAGGTCGACAGAGAAGTCTTTCTTTCTTTTTAAAAAATAATAAACACAAAAACATTACTTGGTTACATCTTAAAATATATTAATTAGTTTAAACATATATTGTTTCTCGATATATATATAAATGTAATATGATCTGAGATTGTGCACATAAATAATCTGTATAGTCCTATATCAAACATAATTTCCACGTTAGTTAGTTAGTAAGAAAAATATCAGATATGATCTGTATAACTAATTAAATGTTCAGTTAAGAAACGCAATGGATATGTCCGAAACATTCCGCATAATCTATTAACTGAAAATTTATTTAGTTATACAGATAATTATCTGGAACTTAAGTAAATTACCACAAAAATATAGATGAACAGATAATTTCCTACTATTTTTCGGCACCTTTTAGTGTATACTTATTCGTTATTTATCTAACAGAAAAGAAATATTTAGTTAGTCTGATAAATATATGTTATTTATCGTGTTAACACGAAAACTAATTAGTAAGTCAGATAATTAAATCGATAAATATAAGGTTACTGTTGGTATAAATATGCCACCATAACGTTTTCATTTTTATTTTACTTTGACTTTTAAGGGGTATCTTTGCCGGTTACTGCAGGACAACGTACTCCTGTCAAGGATCATGTTTAACTTCGCAGACTTATTACACAAGTTGCGGATTTTGGGGCTGGAGCAGATGCGCCAGATACCGGTAAATATCATAACTATTCGTTTTATACTCATATGCTTCGTTTTAATTCATTCCATAAGGTTTGTGTATGTTAAATATTAGTAAGGGAAGTCCTTGATAATTGCTTATGTATTGAATATGTATGTCATTGTAAGATATTAATATCTAATTAGTTTGTTTGTTTAATGATGCTATTGTTTATGTTTCTAAGCTATTGTGTTGCATAAACTCAATTTGAACGACAGCAGCTGTGATAGAAATCTTAAGGATCATGTCGTTTTATTATAATAAATATTAGAAATTTTCAAACGAATAAAGTACTTGGTAACTTAATGAGGGCTAGCAACTGAAACCAAGGTAGAGTTAACTTGACTTACGGCGCAAAAACATCAAACTCTTAACTGTTTGCTGCATCATATATATATCGTATATATGTACGATGCGCAGGAGAGGCAATACGATACTGATACAAAATTTAAACAGTAATCGAGTTTGACCAATACTTGATAAATAATCATGTTTCCACACATTATATCTGTTCTGGTTAGTTCCAGAAGACCGGGCGCGAAAAATGATACATCAGTGGTTGCAGTAATTTCTTTCATAATAATTACCATTATATGAAATGTATTCTGTATTCTGTATTCCATCAATGCAGTTTATTAAAAGGGAGGCAACCCCGGCATGTCATTATATTTATATTCATACAAATTATCTTCCTTCATAAGTCGGGTGTCTTCTGAAAGGTTGTTAAAGTTTTATTTGTCAACACGTTGTCTCTTATTGTATCTTTTATAATTGTAACTTATTACATCTGAATAATTTTATTAAGCATAAATATACTCAATATTTCACTAAACAACTATATTTGACATTTGAATTATAACTATATTCAATTCTGCCAAAATTACTACTGAGTTTATGTTTAATGATGCTAGCATAAAAACAACATTTTATAACTGCATATGTTATTGTTTTTTTTGGAGAGCATACTGAGTGTTACCAGTTAATGTATCAACTATTCTTTTTATTTAAATACAGATACGTTTACCAGCCATGTGCTCAGACATGCTATAGAAGTGTATGCTGTTTGGGCTATTCTGGAAGTGACTGTAGCATTCGTAAGTTGCTGAAACGTTTGATCTGAAATATATTGTATAAATCATTTAAAACGGGTTTTTGACGAATACATGTTCACAAATTTGTACAGCTTGATTACATTACAACTAATGTTAAATGATATGCAAAATTATTGTCAACTTTGGGGGTTGAAAATCAATAAGTCTAAGACTAAAACCATGATTTTTGAAAACGACAGGCATTCCTACTATGATTTCTTTATTTACAACACACGAATAGAAATTGTTAAATCTCTTAAATATCTTGGCATTACACTTTTCAAAAATGGTAACTGGTAAAGAACTCAATAAAGAATCGCTTAAAATGTGTCACATGTACTTTTTTTAATGCTCCCCGAAAAAATTTCGGGGGAGCATATAGTCGCCGCCTTGTCCGTCCGTCCGTCCGTCTTTCCGTCCGTCCGTCCGTCCGTCCGTCCCCTTTTCTTGTCCGGGACATAACTTTGAAACAACAAGAGGTATCAACATGAAACTTTGTAGGTAGATAGATCTCATTGAGTAGGTGTGCAGTGCACAAGAACCGTAACTCTGCCTTGCCTAATTTTTGAATTATTCCCCTTTGTTTATTTTTACACTTTGAACTTTGTCCGGGACATAACTCTAAAAGTATAAGAGGTATCAACATGAAACTTTGTAGGTAGATAGATCTCATTGAGTAGAAGTGCAGTGCACAAGAACCGTAACTCTGCCTTGCCTAATTTTGAATTATTCCCCTTAGTTTATTTTACACTTTGAACTTTGTCCGGGACATAACTCTAAAAGTATAAGAGGTATCAACATGAAACTTTGTAGGTAGATAGATCTCATTGAGTAGGTGTGCAGTGCACAAGAACCGTAACTCTGCCTTGCCTAATTTTTGAATTACCCCCCTTTGTTTATTTTACACTTTGAAATTTGTCCGGGACATAACTCTTAATGTATAAGAGATATCAACATGAAACTTTGTAGGTAGATAGATCTCATTGAGTAAAAGTGCAGTGCTTAAGAACCGTAACTCTGCCTTGCCTAATTTTTGAATTATCCCCCTTTGTTTATTTTACTCTTTGAACTTTGTCCGGAACATAACTCTAAAAGTATAAGAGGTATGAACATGAAACTTTGTAGGTAGATAGATCTTATTGAGTAGGTGTGCAGTGCACAAGAACCGTAACTCTGCCTTGCCTAATTGTTGAATTATCCCCCTTTGTTTATTTTACACTTTGAAATTTGTCCGGGACATAACTCTTAATGTATAAGAGATATCAACATGAAACTTTGTAGGTAGATAGATCTCATTGAGTAGGTGTGCAGTGCACAAGAACCGTAACTCTGCCTTGCCTAATTTTTGAATTACCCCCCTTGTTTATTTTACACTTTGAAATTTGTCCGGGACATAACTCTTAATGTATAAGAGATATCAACATGAAACTTTGTAGGTAGATAGATCTCATTGAGTAAAAGTGCAGTGCACAAGAACCGTAACACTGCCTTGCCTAATTTTTGAATTATCCCCCTTTGTTTATTTTACACTTTGAACTTTGTCCGGGACATAACTCTAAAAGTATAAGAGGTATCAACATGAAACTTTGTAGGTAGATAGATCTTATTGAGTAGGTGTGCAGTGCACAAGAACCGTAACTCTGCCTTGCCTAATTTTTGAATTATCCCCCTTTGTTTATTTTACACTTTGAAATTTGTCTGGGACATAACTTTAAAAGTATAAGAGGTATCAACATGAAACTTTGTAGTTAGATAGATCTCATTGAGTAGATGTGCAGTGCACAAGAACCGTAACTCTGCCTTGCCTAAGTTTTGAATTACCCCCCCCCCTTGTTTATTTTACACTTTGAAATTTGTCCGGGACATAACTCTTAATGTATAAGAGATATCAACATGAAACTTTGTAGGTAGATAGATCTCATTGAGTAGGTGTGCAGTGCACAAGAACCGTAACTCTGCCTTGTCTAATTTTTGAATTATCCCCCTTTGTTTATTTTTAAACTTTGAACTTTGTCCGGGACATAACTCTTAATGTATAAGAGATATCAACATGAAACTTGGTAGGTAGATAGATCTCATTGAGTAAGTTTGCAGTGCACAAGAACTGTAACACTGTCTTGCCTACTTTTGGAGTTATTGCCCTTTGTTCATTTTGACACTTTGAACTTTGTCTGGGACATTACTCTAAAATTATAAGAGATATCAACATGAAAACTTTGTAGATAGATAGGTCTCATTGGGTGGAAGTGCAGTGCTTAAGAATCATTACTCTGCCTTGCCTTATTTTGAAGTAATTGCCCTTTGTTTATTTTTACTTTTTGACTTTTGTCCTGGACATTACTTTAAAACTATTAGAGATATCAACATGAAACTTTGTAGGTAGCTAGATATAATTGGATAGAACTGCAACGCTTAAAGAACCTAAACAAAGCCTGGTCTAATTTTGGAGTTATTGCCCTTTGTTCATTTTTTTTACACTTTCCTGTGTCCAGAACCTTCTCGGGAAGCATCACCCGGTTCAACCGGTTCTTGTTTACCTTTTTACAGTTTATTGAGACATACAGTTACCAGTCTATCAGAAATGTAAACTATTCGTTTCTTTAGTTGGTTTAATTTGAAATTTTAGTTCCAAAGTTTAGGGTTTACACGACGCAACAGATATCGAGCTAATTCATACACTCTTTTTTGCGTAGAATCCTGGGGATAAAGAACTCAACGAATCTTGCAGCCCTCTATGGAGAATTAGGTCGAGCTCCGGTAATTAAAGATAATATGAAAAAAGATACTTAAACAGAATGAATCCTCAATTGTAAAACAATCATACATTGTCCTTTAAACCGATACTGACTCCGGTCGTAATTATGGTGGAATAAAATTGGCCTGTTATTTAAAAGATATTCTATCGAGTAACGGATTTAGATTATGTCTGGAATAATCAATTTGATATTGAAATTCCTATTACCTCTATAAAACAAAGATGATTGGACACATTTATGCAAAAATTGGTATGCGAAAATTAATTATTCTTCAAGATTACAGACTTATTGTCTATTTAAACACAATTTTTTGGGGAAATGATATTTAGACTCTGTACATTAAAACAAATATAGAGCAGTACTAACTAGGTTTAGAGCCTCTTAAAACAATATTTTTATTAAAACAGGAATATATGATAATACCCAACTTGTAGACCGAATATGCAAATCATGTACCATGAGAAAATTGAAAATAAATACCACTTTATCCTCGTGTGTCCGCATTATAGAGATCTTAGAAAATATTTTTTTTAAACCTATGTATTGTGATTGGCTAAATAGGTATGAATGTGATAATATTTTACTCTCTAGATCAATGGAAACGTTGTTAGCATTGTCTAATTTTTTGTATTTTACAAATCAGAAACGTATTTCTTGACAACATATAACAATGTAACAATATTGACGACACATATAAATCTTTGTTGTATGAAAATCTAGAATAGTTTATTTTTCTGGTAATTATTTAAATTCACCGGAAAATTGTTCTGTTTCTCATAGTAGGTGTATATGTTTATTTGTTTGTATTACATACTATGTTTAATGCTTAATAAACTTTGTATGCGTATTTAATAAACAACTAAAATCAATGTTTGTTGAAATATTTTCTGTTGATAGTTTACCCTATTTTCCGAATCTTATTTGTTCAAATTATAAGCTGAAACAAAAGTTATGTATCTTTCCGAAAAAAAAATTGAGTGACGAGTTGTTCTATGAGTTCATTACCATTGGTATATACCATAATTGTAAAATATTACTTTCATTATCATAGGTATAAACTGTTGTATATTATACTTTATCATTTGTATAGCTTCGTGTTTTGGGTCATATTCGTGTCCTAACGGTGGTAAATGCCAATCTCCAGACATGTGTAGCTGTCCACGTGGCTTCTCCTCGCCCAGGTGTTATGGTAATGACTGTCTATGACTTTTAACTTGTTTTAGATGTTGACGTTATATAAAAAGATTGATGCATTATAAGTGTAAATATTCACTGAAAACAAAATTTAAATGAGAAGCAAATCGTCAAAAAGATGTCATTTTAAAAAGTCCATAATTCTGTTTTTTTACTTTAATTATACTTCAATAAAATCACAATTAGTCTCTTTGGTATAGCAAATTACTCTTGAGTTTAATCTTAGATACAGACTAGATTTCCCGTGAAAAGCATCATTTTAGTTGCAATGTGAATTAATTGGAAAGTTTTGAAAATATCCCAAAGGTGATAAATGTAATCGACATTTCTGCAGTAATCATACATAATTTTTACAATAAATGTGTCTATAAAGTTATTTTGCATCACCCATTAGCACCCCTACCAAGAAAGGAGATGAAGCAGTTTTAATGTTTAAAACTCAAAGTTCTTATCAATTAGTAGAGAAACCATTGACATTAAAAGTAAAAATGCCGACATAACAAAACAGTTACAGGCATTAAGAACAAGTCGGCAACATAGCCATTTAAATGTAGATTTCAGAAATAAAAAAATGTAATTAAAGCAGTAGTATGGCTTTTATTTATAATAAAAATCTATCATTTCGTTAAAGATATCAACGAATGCAGCAGCAGCGGTCATGGGTGTCAACACAATTGTGTCAATACTCATGGCTCTTACCGTTGTACATGTAGAGCAGGCTTTACACTGACCTCGGATCTCAAGTCATGTCAAGGTATGTAATGTAGTATATGTATAGTTGAGAGTTTATCAGCCTCGTCCTGGCTACGTAGGACATAGCTTCAAATTTAAGCTTTACTGGTACAGGAAGACATCAAGCGCATGTCCATGTTTTATTTCAGGCATAAGCTGAGTAGAACCACCAACTTCACACGACCGTCTACTTGAAGAGCTTACTCTTATGACAGAATCCAAGTTCAACTGGAAGGGAAGTGGTTAGAAGTCGTCGACCTTCATCACTCGGCCATGGACTACCTATACGATATCAGAATCTACCATATATTCTTACATGAACACTTAAAAGTTTTCGAAAATATATAAAGACTTAATAAACATAAACATTAATCAAAGAAAATATGTTTACAAAATTCTTGTTTGCTTAAATAGCCATGTCTACTTTCATTTAATTTTGCTATAAGACGCTATTGTACATTTAATATTCGATAGTTAATAGACTAATTAAGACATTATTTATTACTCGTGTTTAGTAATATTTTAGCAATATATCAATCAATAGCTTCTGTTATTACTATGTTATTTTATAATAAGACCTAAACGAATGCAATGTCAACAATGGAGGATGTAGTCACAAATGCAACAACAATGTCGGATCCTTCTCGTGTAGTTGTAGGACAGGATACACAATTGGTACTGACGGACGATCATGTAACGGTAAGTCCTACAGAAAACACTGTGTTTCTTAAAAACGTTTTTTTTTTAATTTGCAAGATGAATAATGATCTTGGCATCTGCTTATTGAAGGGATCAATGGTTATGGTTACGAATTTCAGGTCATTAGTTTAAACAACATGAGTAACACTTGGTTATAAAGAGCTTATAACAAATTTAAATGATATATAAATGCTTTACAGTAAAGATATATACCATTTCACATAGTAAAAATTGACAAATTATGAAAAATTGAATTATAAGCACGTATATGTAACCACACCAATTTTTTAATATTTCATTGTGGTTGTTTGTTTTAAAATGATTAGATGTGGATGAATGCATGCTCGGAACAGCAGCTTGTTCTCATAAATGTACAAACACTGAAGGTTCCTTTACATGCTCATGTAATACTGGATATACTTTAAGTGTGGACAGACGTTCGTGTGAAGGTATATTAATTTTACAATACAAAGCTAAGCCTTACGTTTACATATAATCTAGCAATTTTGAGCTAACGCCTTTGTTTGAAAAAAAAATGGAAAGCAAATCAAATATCAAAAACAGTTCATATAGTTTACTTTATGTTTTTAAAATCTATACGATAGATATGTAATAATAATATGTACTATGATGACACATATTTAAATCTTGAAAGTAAAAATTAAAGTAAAAGTGTAAGATGTACATTTTAGAATAGGACTCATTTCATGACAATGATTAATCATCAATTATATATTTTTTAATTTATGACTAGATGTCGACGAGTGTGTTGAAGGAACAGCCAAATGTGATGGTTACTGCAACAACACCCCTGGGTCTTACACGTGTTACTGCGACCCTGGTTATATCCCTGACAGTACCGGCTATTCATGCAGAGGTTGTTTCCGTCTTTTTTATATCTATTTTTGCATGTACCCCAGTTTATAGCTTTAAATTATCTCTATTCACTATGTGAAATGGAAACTGAATCACTAAATTAAAGTTATCACCAATGAAGAGAGGTTATTATGTACTTCTTCATTTTCGCTTATCTGTTTGTCTATTTCACTGCTTTTACTGCTTTGTGACTCACCAACACAGTATAAGGGCGATATTCTAGCTTTCCTGTTGTAAAACCACCGGCTGATTATACATTTGTTTGTAATCTCAATCACTCAGAAAAACAGTTCTTGATTATTTTGTTGGATTCCTGTTATTACAATGAGAAGCAAATGCACTAAACTAAACCGCAGAAAGATTTCGTATTAAGATACATGAAATCAGCAAGGTGTTGGTTAAATTGATTGTATCGAGACTGCTTACTGTGAACGTTGCTTTGCGATGTTGATCTTTATTTACATTTTTTGAAAGCTTATGTTCATATTATCAAGACGTGAATGAGTGCGACACTGGGAACGGCGGGTGTACTCAAACATGTATAAATGAGCCAGGTTCACACAGGTGTGAATGTCAAAACGGATACAAAGCTGTGTTTTCAAGTACAGATAGCGAAGTGTGTGAAGGTAAGTGATACGTTTATAAATATGTGAAGGTAAGTTACTAGATTTCTCAATTAATATTTACAGAATAAAAAAAAAACAAATTTGATACCTGAAGTATAATATAATAAGTGTGTATCATGATGCCGCATATTTGTTACGTCACTATTCATTGGAAAACGTGACGTCTATAGTAACTTTATAAACAGATGATGTCAATTTTTGCAGAAATCTCTACGTTTTTTCTGCGACATTATGAACTCGTCATAAATTCTTGCAATGAAATGTCCTGTAAAAACGGTGGTTTGAAATATATTGTTAGGCTAGCGGATCGGGCTCGGGCTATATAGCAATCGTTTATATAGGACCAGCGAAACAGTCATAAATCTTTATAACTTACTATATACATCTAAGTTTATGATGTTATTACTTTGTTACGAATAGCTTAAACATGATAAACTTGTTAACTTAAGTATGTGCTTATTACATATTATTAGTCCATGCAATTTTGTTTCTTGTTTATAATTTATATTTACCAGTAAATGATGAATGCATTCATACCAATGAAAATATAAACTGTTTATCAGACGTGTGTGTTTGTGCATGCATGCGTTAGTGTGTTATGTTGTAGGTATATCTTATGAAATGAAGAAAACAACTATTTTTATTCATATAGATATAGATGAATGCATGGAATCAAGTGCATTTTGCTCTCAAATTTGTAACAACACAGTTGGGTCCTTTAAGTGTATTTGTAATAGTGGTTTCAGCCTAGACACAGATGGTATTTCTTGTATAGGTTAGTATTCATGAATAAAATAATATGCGATTTTAAAAAACAGAGATACACACTTCACTTGATCTCACTACATGTTCTTGCTTTACATTTGTGTTATAGCCAACAAAATATGTTTGTTTAACACGGGTCACATACAGTTTGAAATGATTTTCATATAATAAATTACGTAACACATGAGTAAGATGCAAAAGATGTGTTGATAAAATTCCAATCAGAATTTCCATTTTTTACCAGATAATTAAATGATCGGTATCTTTTCCAACTTTTACTTTTCTAGAACTAACTGAAACAGTAATAAATTTTAGCTCCAAAGTGTTCATGATTGTGGCGAGATAGCTTCATTTATCTGGAAGTATGAATTCGATATGCGAATACGCTAAAATGTAACTGAACTTAAATGCAACACAGAAATAATCCGATAGAGGAAACAAAAACGAAAAAGAAAAAGGCGTAGCTGTTTATAATAATCAACTTCATATGGACATTTAATGTAAAAGTAATCGTATATAATGATTCAAAACGGGAAGAACTGTAAGTATGTTCTGAAAGTTTCTGAAACAAATGTTGTCAATTGAAAAAAGAGCAAATTTTCAATTAAATTACAGACGTTGATGACTGTGAAGGTGTTGTATGCATGAACAAAGGTACATGTGTTGATGGGTTGATCAAATACACGTGTACGTGTGAAACAGGTTTCCGCGGCAAACACTGCGAAACAGGTGAGCACATTCCTATTAAAATTCAGTTTGTCAGTGTTCTATAGTGACTGACTGATTGGCCAACCGACTCTACATTCCTCAGATCTAACAGCGTAAACATTTACTGATCTTTTAATCATTGAAAATATTCTGAAATTTATGAAGCACATATCCGCTCTAGAGACGACGCAATGTTCAAACCCTTTCTAAGTCCTTTGCAAGTCTATTTTTATAATGTTCGAATTTTTCGTCAGTCATCGGCATATTGATTTAGTCCTTTTGTAACTTCACATTTATATATTTGAAAAAAATTCAAACTAATTGACCATTAAAACTCCGTTTGACTATGGTCACAAGAACGTTTTGTCACCAAAATAACATTTCTTTGTTCATTTACTATCTCAATTTATCGGTTAAGAGTTTTCAATAGTCAAACTAAGAATCTGATAATTATATAGCTCAACACGTCAACGGTTAAAATGTTGCAGGCTCCAACGATTGATGTCATCTTGTCAAGACTGGCTTTTAACATATCTAGCTAAATTAGACGTTTATCAAAATGACATTTCTATGATATATACCTGAAGATACAATGTTTTATCCGATCAAATTGCTGAGTTACATGTGGCGTTGTACAGTTAAAGCAGTGGAAACAGGCGTATCGAATTTATCAAAATTGATAATTGTTGATATGTCAGTGAGACGAAGGGTGTCGCAAAGTCTGACAGTAAATGCAAGATTTATATACGATGGGTGTTTCGAAAGATGTCGAATGAACACTGCATTGCTTTGAAATTGACAAAACCGAATATAATGTCTAAAACATCATTATGATGGTTGTAATAAACATAGAATTTCAACGAATTTTATACTATTTAATTGCTATACGTGTAAATTACATTAATAACAGTAAATATACATTTTGTGTTTCAATTTACAACTCATTGAATATACTTATCAGAAAGGTTGTCAGTTTGGAAATTGCTAATATATTTTTAAATGTGTTTACTAAGATCGGCAGCACAAGCCTTGCTTATTAAAATTTTGATACAGATCCTATGAAGTACAGTCGATTTTAATCTATTTTGGTTAACTTTTAGATATAAATGAGTGCGAATTCGCAAATGGGGGTTGTCAAGATGTATGTACAAACTCAGAAGGTTCGTTTTACTGCAGTTGTTCAGGGAATCGAGAGCTAAGCGAGGATGGTTTCTCGTGTTTTGGAGGTAAGCAGATGGATCATAAGCGTTGTTCAAGATTAAGAATATGACTTGCTTTATAATTATGCAGCTTGAGTTGGACTGTTAAAATTTTAGCAATAATCACTAGTAGACAAAATTTATTAAGAACACAATGAAAAACTTTAAAAACGTGTATATAAGAACTACGTATTCTATCGTCTAGTGTTACAAATATTGTGATGATGACCTTTTTAGATAAGCTGGAAAATGTGAAACTTAAATTGTTGTTAACAAAGTAAGGGAAAATTGGAAATTTTGTAAATTTGAAATCACTTACATCTTTAAAGGAACTAATTAAGACTAATGGGATATTCGATGCTGGTTATATACGTGAACCTTGTAACTAGCTAGCGTTTGATCATTTACTTTAGGGGAAGAAGAAACCCAGACTGTGTTTGAACGACTCGAAATTCCTCGACAGCTCCTGCCGAAAGCGTGTTTCACTGTAACGCTTGCCCAATGCGTAGATGGAAATGACATTACAATCTATTTAAGCTCTACATCGCACTGGTATAAACTACATGTTGATCAAGACGTGATGTTTACATACGGTGTTGTTTTTGCTAACGTAAACAATTTCTCTGTGCCAATATCACTAAAGGGACTTGAGGTGATTGTACGAAATGACGAGTTTACGTTAAATTATGGGTCGCTATACGAATTGACTGAAGGAGCAATAATGGAAAGTGGAAAAACAGACGATGTTTGTGCAGCGTTTGAACTTGTTGAAAGTGATATTTTCGATTTCATAAGTATGGACTCCTTTATGAAAACTTTATTGTTCTCGCTATTTCCTGCCATTCCTTCCTGGCTAAGATTTGAAAAATCAAGAACTGAGATTTTGTCTATTCAAGATACAAAAAGTACTCTTGTTTATGGGAAAGACATGGATGATGTTTCGTGGTGTGACGGTGCACCAGTTATCTCAAATCATTTATACACGGTATTTAAGTTTAGTACAGGATTTAAGCTCAATATATTCGGGGATGTAATAGACATACCAAAACCATTAAGTTCGAGACGATTTTGCTTGATTGTCGACCTTTGCCAACATAATGGCGGGACAGTGTTTTTGATGATACCAGATGGTTCCCGAGATATGTTATTAGACATCAGCATGTTCCAAGCGCTAAAGAATAGACAAAACTTGCACATTCGTCCGAGAGGAATCGGAATTTCACTTTCGAAAGGAATAAATGCAAATTACCACACATTATCTGGACAACTCTGGAATGGAGACAGAATGTTTACCCCGTACGGTTGTCACCATGCATTTATTTTTATTATAAGAGAAGTCGCATTTTTTTAATTAAAGTTGAGAATGATTTTAAGACGAAATAATGTAAAAAGTATAAAGAGGTTTTAAATAGGTTTCACTCTTTTTTATCGCCACATCAGCGTTGTTTGTGCCGTATGGAGGTTGTAAACAGTCGCTACGTACATTCAATCGGGGATGTTACATTTCCAAGCCTTAAAGATCGTTCAGCACTACATTATTGTTGTGCTTGTAGCATTTATTTCCTTCCATTCAGCATCTTTCTTCTAGGGTAGTTTCATTATTCCTGACTTGAAGACTATTGAACAACTCTAAGGATATGTGGCCTGCTTTTTAAATTTGTCTTTTGACGTTATATCAGTGATATGCAAACTTCATAACCTCAGATCCTCTTTCAAAATTCCATTTTATTTCGTTCCGCCCAGTGTTTTTTCGTTTAGGGCACACGCATTTTTTTAATTGGGGGCGATATGCCTAAATGTTGAATTCTGCTTGAAGGGGCGCAGACGGTTACTTGCATTTTCTAGTACCGTGTATGAACAGGCTCAATTAAACCGAGTCTGCAACATTTTCAATTTTGTCTAATTGGCCTTTCTTAGGGGAATTTTTATTTCACTCTATTTTGTCGCCACATCAGCGTTGTTTGTGTCGTGTGGAGGCTGTAAAAGGTCGCCCGTACATTCAGTCAGGGATGTTTCCGATCCCTATAGATCGTTCAACACGACATTATTGACACGACATTAAGATATTCTAACTACCTTAATAGGTAGTCGATATAAAATCTCATGCGAGTTACTGCTGTTTTTGTCTCTTTCGGGCATAAAGTAATTGCATTGGCCGTCCTGAAGTACGCTCAAAATTATGTACGGATCTTATATTTGTCATTCTGTTATTGTTTATTATTCTTTTTTTTCACAAATATTTACCAGCATGCAATATGTAAGGTGGTAGAGTGATATCCGTATCTTTGAGGTCAGGAATCTAATGGTTGTGTGTAGTTTATATTTTTTCATTTTAAACATTTTGTTGTTACCTTCTTGGTACATTTACGAACACTTTTTAATCTTATACAGATTATATTGTCAAGGACATATCAAAAACATGTTGTTTGCTGATTTTTTGCTTGCAACAATTCATTTATATGCATTATCTCTGTGTAAGCCTTTTATCGAGATGATTGTGAATATATATCTCGTATTTTGTTTTCGACTTGCTCTTATTTCTAATGCTTTCGATGTTTAAACTGTTATACTGTTTTTATCATGAAGATTACAACCAAATGTGGATGTCTGGATAGGTGGTGGTATGAGCAAAAATGACACACATTTTACAGTTGAAGGAAACGCTGATATCTATTTTGGTGTACCAAGCGTTCAAACAGTGAGTGTTCTTTTCAGTTTTTTATTTTATCTAGATTTTAATTTTGTGACCATGTTACTCTGTTATTTCACTTTTTAACATGTTAAGTTATTTTAATAATTTTAAATGCGTGAGTGCTATCCCACTCATTGAAAAGTACATTTATTTAAAAAATCGTATCATGGTTACAAAAACACATTATGTACAGATGTGTTTATGTCAAACAAACATTACATCGATTCAACAAAGATATATAACTTGTAGATATAAACGAGGTTATTTTCTTTGGTTTGGTTTTCGTCACACCCACACTTATTAGATCATATGGCGATACTCCGACTTTACTTGGGGAAGACCTCAGGTACCCTTCCGTGAATTAGTTCAGACACGAGCTAGATAATCGAAAGTCCTTGTCGGCGGTGACGGGCTATTTGTTTCAAGTCAACGACCTTAACCACCCAACCACGGACGCCCCAAATAAATGAGTAACTTCAGTTATTGAGTAAAATGAATATTTTGAATTTAGGACATCAAACTATGTATCAATATATTCAATAATATTTCATCATAAAATAATATGTAGAAAACGTAGTTTTATGTAATATTCAAATATTGAATCCAAAGCAAAAATATAAATATAGCAAAATATAAACTTTTTGTAGCGTTTTGTGTCAAAAAATTGCGAAAAAACTGCCAAAAAACCCAGTTTGCAAAATTTTTAAAAACCCATAAAATTTTATTTTTTGAAAAGCCCGAAATTAAAATGGATATTCGTTTTTTTAAAAATTTAAATGTTTTTCATTCATTTTTTTGGGTAAATGCCCTCAAAATGAAATAAAACAAAGGGAATAAACCAGGACAAAACTTTTCCTGTTTTTTTAAGAAAAAAAAAAGGTTTTTTAACTTGCCTGACCCCCCTTTGCCAAAAGGGAGCGTTAAGATTTCACAAAAATTTTAAATTTTTAAAAAGAACAGTAAAATAAAAGGGATCAAAAGGTATTTTAAAAGCAAAAACCAAACCCTTGGTTTTGTAATTTTCCGGGGTTTTTGGTCAAGCCCCACACTACAAATTTAAAACATTTATTTTCAGTGTTTTTGGGGTCGGCGCCCAAAATTTCCTTAAAACCCCATAAAATAGAAAAAATTTGCGCTTCAAACCACAAATATATAGAAATACAGGGCCTGGGATTTTTTACAAAAGGGTCATTTTAGCGGGGTCCCGGGTACATAAACAAATTTTTTAATTTTTTTTTGTCAAAAATTTTCCCCTGATATCCTTTTAACTTTGGGGTTAAAAATTAAAAATTTGGGGCGGTAAGGGGAGTTTCATATTAAAAATTTGAGTAAATAATTAATAATAATAATTGGGTTTAATAATAGGTAATTAATTTTGGTACAAACTTTGCTAATACTGACACGATTGGTCAATCATATTTGGAAGTCGCCCAAAAGCGCACAGTTCATGTGCTCAGCCGCCGTAAAGCCACTTTTCAAAAAGGGCAATGTTATTCATCACAGATGCGGTTCTTATCCCCACAGGAATATCTTCATAAATACATGGAAACAAATGTGACCGTGCTAAAAATTTTTCAGAGTTGTGGACACACCAAAATAATATGTTGACACACCAGAATAATATAATGATATTATAAAAAGTCAATACGAGGTAAATTATTTTGACGTTTTCGTCAAACGTAATAAAAAGTTCCCAATTGCAGTGGGCTTGCTTGAATTGGTTTAGAAATTAACATCAACGGGAATCAGATTTATTTTGGTGTTTTTTGTTGTTGTTTGTTGTTTGCTGTTGTTTGTGTTTAAGTGTTATTGTTGTTGTTATTTATTTATCGTAATGTCTGTTTTGATTTGTAGATATTAACATCAATGTTTGTAGAAGAGTGGACAGGATTTATCGATATCCAACTATCTTTGTCACCTGTTCTCCGATTTGATTTATTTGGCAAGGAACGTTCTGTGACCCTTCCGTTGCTTACATCTACTGCAAATGCGTATATTTCTATCGGAGGTAAATCAGCAAAAATGTTTAAATGAATGAAGATGATATATTTAGTTTCACATAATGTCTTGTCTATTATTTTTAGTTTTATTCATTTTATTATTCAGATGTAAATGATTAAACAAATATAAACTGATAAGTGCATATGTAAAAATAAGTAAAAAAATTTTTGTTAAATTCCCCTTTTAAAATAAAATTGTCTGTTTAAAGTATGCTTTAATTAAAAAATAGTGTGTATAAAATTATAACCCTATTTCAAGGTTCAAGTCGCAATGGTGTGGGTGAGGGTTTTAAAAAACCCAGAAGGATTTTTTCTCCCCAGTAAGGGGGTTGGAATTAAACCCCTTTTTTAAGGGAAAAAACCTTTTTAGAAACTTTCGGTGTTTTCCCTTCCGAAAATTCTGAACTTTGGGGTTTTAAAATTGGGAAAACACAGATTTCCAAAGGGAAATCCCAATTAGAAGGAATAAAAAATTTGGGGGGGAATGGGGCAAAATAATTACTTGGGCCCCTTGGGCCCAATTTTTAAAAAAACCCAAGAAAAACTTCCAAAAAGGATTTTTTAAAATTTATTTGGGGAAATTCCCTTTTTAAAAACAAAGGGAAAAAAAAGGGTTAAAAAAAAAAATTTTTTTCCCCAAATGTTTAAAGAAAAAATAAACTTTTTAACTTTTTTAAATTTGGGTTTTTGTTTTTTTTTACGGGAAAAGACCACAAAGATTTTTGATCAAAGACATTTCCTTCCAAAAATTTTAAGAACATATTAGGAAGGAAATTATGTTTTTGGTTTTGGGGTTTTTTAAATAAACAAGGGGAAAGAATTTTTATTTTTAAAAATTGTTGATGGGGACGTCAAAGGATAAAAGGAAAATTTGGGGAAAATTTTTAAGGGGGGAAAAATTTTAACGGGGAACTTTGTTTTTGTTGGAAAATTTTTCCGGGCTTTGGGTTTTTTGAAGTTTCCCCTTCCCGGCGGACTTTTTGGGGGTTTAAAAGTTCGGGGGATTCGCCTTTAAATTGTATTTTCCCGGGGGTTTTTTTTAAGGTGTTAGCCCGATTTTAAACCCCCTTTTAAACTACTGGGTGGGGGAAATGCTGTACGGGTTTTTGGGGGGGTTTCAAAAAAAAAAAAATTAAAAATTTCTGAGATAGGAAGAAAGGGGCGGGTTTTGGCTCCCTTTTTGCCCAAATTTCCCCTTCCGGACTTTTCCCCTTTTTAAATTTGGCCCCGGCCCTTAAAAATGCTGGGGCTTAAAAAACTGGGGGATCTTTTTATTTCGAAAAAAAAGGGTCTATTTTTCCATTTAGGGGAAACATTTGGGAAAATTTTTTTCAAAATGTTTTTTTAAAGGGAATTGGGGGGGAAAAATGGGAATGAACCTGACATTTTTTCTTCGTAAACGTTTTTGAAAAACCAAAGGAAACGGTAAAAAAATTTACAAAACCCAATCAATTGGTACAAACTCCCTACTATTACAAAAATTTACCCTCAAGGTAACAAACAAGAACAGGGTTTTCCCCTTTTCAAAAGAAAGTTATTTAAGGGCCCTTTTTAAAGGAAATTTTCCGGAAAAAATTTTTGGGATGGCTAAAAAAGGTTTAACTAAAGGGTTGAAAAAGGCTCCATCCCCCAAAAAAGGGTTTTTTCCCCAAAAGCCCAAAAAATTGGTTAGCAAGAAAACAAAAAACTGATGGGGGTTTAAAAAATGTTTCCTTTTGAAAAATTTGCATTGAAAATCTTGAAAAAACCCAAAAAAATTTTGGGAAAATGAAAAAAGGGGCCCTCTGAAATAAAAGAAATTAAAAATTGGAAAAAAGCAAAAAAGCGAGAAAATTAATAATTTGTGTAAAATAAAGGCAATGAGGAAAAATTTGCAAAAACCTGGAATTAAAATGTGAATTTTGGTTTTTAAAAGAAATTTTTGGGGTTGTAAAGAAAACCTTTTAACCCCAGGGCTCCCCAAATTTCCAAAAAGTTTATAATAAGTTTTTCCCAAGACCCAAAATTTGCCTCCCTTTGCAAATATAACTTGTGGGAAATAATTCCCGAGCTGCAGTTTATTTTTGAAAACAAAACTTGCAAAAATTTTGTAATCATTTTAAGAGGCTAAAAGATGCAGTTTTAATTTATGGCAAATTGGTTGTTTTTTGGGACAAAAAATTTTAAATTTGCAAAAATTTGAGAAAATTTTTTGGGCAGAAGAATTTTTTGGGGGTCTCTTTTAACTTAAGAATTGGTTTTAAAAAATTTTGATGTTTTGGGTTTTTATAAAAAGTCTTTTAATTTAAATTTTAAAAGCAAAAGTTGTAAATTTTTTATTCGAAAGTAAATAATTTAATTGCTTGTTTTAAAATTTAAAAGATAGTAAAATATTAAAAAATTAAAATTATTTTTTAAAAAAAATTTTGGGTTAAAAAAGGGTTTTAGAATAAAAAAAAAAAATTTTTAAAAAAACATCGAAGAAATTGCAAAAAGTGTAAAATGAAAAGCTTAATGCAGCGGGCTAAAAGGGAATTTTTTTAAATATAAATGTAAATTTTAAAAAATATAAAAAAAGTGACAGCGTGGGGATAAGTACCCGATATGTGCTGGGATTATAATATAAAACCGGGATTATAACTTTGCCCAAAGCAATAAAATAAAAAAAAATGGCGGGCTGCTGAATTTTTCCACTGCTTTTTGGGAAAAAGTCGGGGGCCAAAGTTTTTCCCAAAGAAAAAAAGCGGTGGATGATGAAATAAAAATCTGTTAAAAAAAATTGTTAACCCCAAAATGCCGGGGTTTTCCCCGTCGATAAAAAAATGAAAAGGGATTTTTTTCAATGAACCCAAAAATGCGAAAAATTTCCAGGACTGTAATTTTACGCTTTTTCCAAAATTTAATGGGTTTTTTAAATAAATAAGAGAACTTCCAAACATTTAAAACCCCTTTCACGGTAATTCTGATCTTGAAAGTCTACTGGTTGAAACGTTTCAGAACGAATCTTCCTCTATAATTGATACAGCATCCACTTTTGAGTACGTTATTTTTAACATTAACGGGCTGGTCAGTATGAATTTATTTTGTTCAGAAGCCCCAAAGCTTGTAAAACAGCTTCACAACCAGACTGTCTTGTACGGCAGCGATGTTACATTATTTTGCAATGCTACAGGCGATCCGGAACCTGATTTTATTTGGCTGAGGAATGAAATGATTATCCCAGGGGAAAGTTCCAATATTCTGACCATTTTAAACGTTACCGAAATTGATTCTTATGACAAGTACAATTGTATTGCTGGGAATGTTGTAGCTAATATCACCTCTTCAGATGCGTATATAAATGTTGTACTACAAGGTAAATACATGTTGCGTCATGTCTATAAATCACAAATCTTGAAAATATAAAAGAATGGTAAATGTCATGACCAACAATTAAAACGTTATTTTTGAAAAATCGTTTTTTCCCTCTATATAATCACTGGGGCTACCGTAAGGGGCAAGGGTTATAACTACAAAAAATTGGGTGAACACACAATAATATTTCGTGTAAAAAACACAATAAAATTTTTGTGAAGTATTTTTAACAATGAAAGTTTTTACCAAAAACCCAATTTCCTAAAAAAAATTTTTTTTTTTTTAAATTTGATTCCGTTTTATTTTTTAAAAACTTTTTATTTTGGTTTTAGGAATCAAAACCAAAAATTTCCCTGTGTTTTCTTTTACAATTTTTTCAACAATGAAATGAATTAAACTTTGGGTGAAAAAAATTTGTACAACTTGTGTAATAACCGATAGGGTCATACATTTGCTCCTGCTTTGAAGGATACTCCCTTGATGAAGATGGAATAACATGTTCAGGTAAATCAATCATCTCTTATCAATCTTAATTTTTGAACATCATTTTTTTTATCGGGTTTCAAGTATTTATAAACAATTATTGATAATTGTGGGTGTTTTAAAAGTCATATGTCAACAATTAAACAGCTTATAACAAGTATGTTCTGATATTTTCATCTAATTCATTAATAAAAACATATATTTATTTTATCATCTTTAACAAATTATTATTATAAATGTTTAAACATAAGTAACATGATGATAAACTAATTATTATTATCAGACTATATCGTTTACACAACAATTGGTAATATTTTATTATTTTACTACTTTTAAAGATATTAATGAATGTAGTGCGGAACAGAGACATTTTGGTTGCAATCAGATCTGCAACAACACACTTGGTTCATTCACCTGTTCCTGTAATGACGGGTATACTTTAGTAGACGATAAGAAAACATGTGTTGATATAGATGAATGCCTAAAAAAGACAATGGTTGGTTTTGTAAATTACACATTTCATCAACACGGATGGGGTTCATTTAATGTTCTTGTAAACACTGGGTACGATTTTAAAAGGAAACAAAAAGAAAGGGGTCGACATTGATGAAATTTTCTTGTTTAACACCGATGGGTTTCCCGGGCAAAATTGTAGCAAAAACGGAGGGTTCATTTTTGTTCCCTGTAACGACGATTTAAATTCAAGGAAATGAGGGAATATGTTTGATATTGACGAAAAGCATTGTTGACAATGGGGGTTTTGAATCACAACTGTAAACAATACGGGGCGGCTTTGTTTAAACCCGTTTTTTTAACAAGGATTTAGGGGTACATGAAAATAAAGGGAAACCCGTTAAACGATATTAAAGAAAGTTTTTGGGCGGGGCAAAGGTTGGCTGTGATCACATAAGTTAAACAAAATTTGGTTTTCGTTTAAAGGTGTTCCTGTAACGACGGGTAAAAGTTTTTTGACGGAAATAAGAAGACATGCATCGATATTAATGAATGTCTAAGTAACAATGGTGGTTGCGATCATGCCTGCAGCAACAAGGACGGTTCGTTTATTTGTTCGTGTGAGGACGGATATAGTTTACAAGAAAATAATAGGACATGTATCGATATTAATGAATGCCTGGATAACAACGGTGGCTGCGATCACATATGTAACAACACAAATGGACATTTCACCTGCACCTGTAAAGACGGATATAATTTACATGAAAATGATTGGACTTGTACCGATATGAACGAATGTCTCAACAATAACGGTGGTTGTTTTCACACATGTAGCAACACGGAAGGTTCATTTATTTGTTCCTGTAACGAAGGGTTTGATTTACATACTGACAGGCGAACATGTATCGACAATAACGAATGTCTTGATAACAACGGTGGTTTGCGAACAGATTTGCACCAACATTGAAGGCTCTTTCACCTGTTTTCCCGTAACGGACGGATTTGGGTTTAAAAAAAAGGAAAAATTTTTTAAAGGGACCAAAAAAGGGAAATTTGGGTATTTTACGAATGAAATTTTAAAAATTGGGGTTTGACAAAAACTCCGGTTAAAAGGGGCCGGGGATTACTTTTTTGGTTTTTGTAACGAAAATTTAAAGTTTCTTTTTAAAAAATAAAAATCAATGTTTGAATTAAAAAAAATTGGGGAAAATTGGGTATTTAAAGGAAAAAAGGTTGGGCTTAATCAACCCCCCTATTAAAAAACTTTTGGGTCCTCTTTACTTTTGAAATTTTCCTTTAAACAAACCCGGGTACCCGGTTTAAGATTAAAAAAAACCAAAAATGACCGGAAAATTTAAAGGGGGAAGCCAAGTTAAAAAGGGGGGTTTTTGAACCCCCCGAGGCAAAAAGGCGGCTCGTTTATTTGGGGTTTTTTTGAGGAAAGGGGTCAGGGTTTATATATGAAAATTCAGGGGAAAGGGGGTTATCCAAAATTTTTTGGTGTCTTTTTAAAAGAAACGGGGGTTTTGCCAAACCCCAATTTGTAAAACCAATTTGGTTTTATGCCCCGAAGGAGGGTTTTTTTTACCCTTTTAAAGGGGTGGACCTGTACCCGGTTTTTATTTAAGTGTCTAAAAAAATGGTGGTGTTTTAAAATTTTAGGAACCGGGGGTTATTTTATTGTTTATTTTCAAACGGGATGAAATTTACTGCTTTCCCGGGCCGAAACCTTTTTTTTCGGGCAATTTTTCCGGGGGGGTTAAAAGGGGGTTTTTCTGCCTTTTTCCCAAAAAGTGGCCTTTTTTACCCGTGCCCGTAAAAGAGGTTTTGGGGTTTTTCAAGGAAATGGGAAAAATTTTCGCATTGATGAATCAGTTGTTGACAAATGGGGGTTGTGATCACAACTGCAGGAACACGGACGGCTCGTTTACCTGCTTTTGTAAACGAAGGATTTAGTATTCATAAAGATAACAGAAACATGTGTCGATATAAACGAATGTATTGACGGCAACGGTGGCTGTGATCACATATTAGGCAACTTGGATGGCTCGTTTTAAGCTGTTCCTGTATTAACGGGTACAGTTTAGATGAAAATAACAGAAAATGCATCGATATTAATGAATGCCTAAGTAACAATGGTGGTTGTGATCACGCCTGCAGCAACAAGGATGGCTCGTTTATTTGTTTTTGTAAGGGCGGGTATAATTTGCATGAAAATAACAGGACATGTATCGATATTAAATGAATGTCTTAATGACAACGGTGGCTGCGATCACATATGTAACAACACAAATGGACATTTCACCTGTACGCTGTAAGGAAGGATATAATTTACATGAAAATGATAGGACCTGTACCGATATGAACGAATGTCTCAACAATAATGGTGGCTGTTTTCACACATGTAGCAACACAGAAGGTTCATTCATTTGTTCCTGTATCGACGGGTATGATTTACATACTGACAGGCGAACATGTATCGACAATAACGAATGTCTTGATAACAACGGTGGTTGCGCACATATTTGCACCAATACAGATGGCTCTTTCACCTGTGCCTGTAATGACGGTTTTGATTTGCAAGGAAGTGAGGAAACATGTATCGACATTGATGAGTGCGTTGTTGACAATGGGGGTTGTGATCACAACTGCAGGAACACGGACGGCTCGTTTACCTGCTTTTGTAACGAAGGATTTAGTATTCATAAAGATAACAGAACATGTGTCGATATAAACGAATGTATTGACGGCAACGGTGGCTGTGATCACATATGTAGCAACTTGGATGGCTCGTTTAGCTGTTCTTGTAATAACGGGTACAGTTTAGATGAAAATAACAGAATATGCATCGATATTAATGAATGCCTAAGTAACAATGGTGGTTGTGATCACGCCTGCAGCAACAAGGATGGCTCGTTTATTTGTTTTTGTGAGGACGGTTATAATTTGCATGAAAATAACAGGACATGTATCGATATTAATGAATGTCTTAATGACAACGGTGGTTGCAACCACATGTGTAACAACACAATTGGACAATTCACCTGCACTTGTAAGGAAGGATATAATTTACATGAAAAAGATAGGACCTGTACCGATATAAACGAATGTCTCAACAATAACGGTGGTTGTCTTCACACATGTAGCAACACGGAAGGTTCGTTCATGTGTTCCTGTAATAATGGGTATGATTTACATACTGACAGGCAAACATGTATCGACAATAACGAATGTCTTGATAACAACGGTGGTTGTGGGCATATATGCACCAACAATGATGGCTCAATTATCTGTTCCTGTAACGCCGGGTATAGTTTACATGATGACAAAAAGACATGTGTCGACATAAACGAATGTCTTGCTGATAATGGTGGTTGCGGTCAGGTATGCATCAATGTAAATGGGTCGTTCAGTTGTTCATGCACCGACGGATATAAAGTACATGCAAACAAAAAGGTATGCATCGACATTAATGAATGTCTTGATAAAAATGGTGGCTGTAAACACAAATGTGAAAATCTTGACGGATCATTCAAATGTATGTGTCAAGACGGGTACAATCTTGACTTTGACATGGTTTCATGTTTTGATATAAACGAATGTGCAGATCAAAATGGCAAGTGTGAAGAGAAGTGTATCAACTTCGATGGAACATACAAATGTGTTTGTGAAGATAAACGACTTTTGAATGAGGACGGTTTAACATGTAAAGGTAGAAACACTAACTTTCTTTTTAAATCAAATTCGAGTTTAGCTTGCGTCTTTTGTGTCCATATCTAAATGTCGTAATTATGATTTATTTTAATTTATTATATATTTAGATGATGAAGAATAAGTTCATGCATGTTACTGATGAAACGGATGTATGAAATTTTGTTGGCAAACTTAAAACTTTAAAACATAAATGTAATATTATTATCATTAGATGCATAAGAATTTTTAATATTTTGTCATTTAATCTTTAACAAGTATATGACCACTAAATAAAAACAAAAAATGTTACCAAGTAACGAAGTTGAAATTTAAATTCCCTACTTCGTGCGAATGTAGCACCGTAGCATTTGAAACATGTAAACATATTTTAAAGTTTATAAATGAAAGTATGACAACGGGACTACGTAGGTCTCAGTAGGAATTGAAAACTAGTCGTCGTTTCATGATAAAAATATTGGGTAAATCAGATCAGTAAAAGTACACTTAAAAACGCTCCAACGGGTCTCGACCAAACTATATCTAAGGATTTCAAATTATGTTCTTGTTATAAAAACATACATGTTAGAATAACCTAATATCTACCATTCAGCAATTAAAAGTCGTATTATCAGCATAGATTGTATTGAATTTATCTTGTCTTTTACAGATGTGAGTGAACAAGCGGTATCTTCAACTATTCGCCTCTCTATAGAAAGTGAAATCGCTTTAAGAAACTACTCTTTGTATACAGAAATAAGGAAAACAGTAATTATATTAAAACACTAACTAAATGTTTACAATGATGGTTAAAATACATGTTGTAGTCACTTACGTACACATTACATAAGCGTTAAAATGAATTGGTGCATCAAACTACTTTCATTAATTAAGTGTTCTAGTGTTTTACTGCAAAATAGAGAAAAAAAGTATCCCTAAATTTCATTTTCTTGAATAAGGTCATTGCACCAGTTAAAGAGTTGAAGATATAATAACAAAAATAAACTATATGTGTGTCTATTTTTGCACATTTTGAATACAATAATATGAATTGCATTATTTCTATTTTGTAAAATCATACTTTTTGAATAAAATCAAACTTGCTTTCCCTTATAATACATAATGAGACAATAATCGCTTTCTCATTTCTATGCGAAACGTTTTGGTAATTCCTTTTTGGGGTGTTTTTTTTTTTCTAGTTGGAGGGATACTTCAGAACGGCAACAAAAGCTTCTGTTTACGTTTATGTCAACAGTATAAGGTTTGTTATATATGCTCCTGTTTTATTTATACAAGATAACAAGTACATAAATATGGATTAATCAAATGTACTAATGATGGGAATAATGAATATACACTTTTTCCAAACTTTCCAGTTTGTATGATATAAATGTCGGGAAAAGGGGAGGCTCTTTGTACACTTTATGTGTTGATATAAATTATCTAGATGGACCATAAAAATGAAACAACAATGCAATCAAGTAAGGGATTACTTAGTTTCATTCTGGTAAAGATTTTGGTATAACTTGATCTATTTCAGTAAAGTGAATTTGTCACTAAAATGTTTTAAATGCGATATTTCAGAGGGTATAACCTATATTGGACTTCTATGACGAGTATCTTATTTATTTTATTATGTTACAATCAAATATATATAAGATCGTAAAATGCAGATTAAAACAGAACTCTTGCACACACGCATCACTAAATCTAATAATATACAGCTACTTGTCTTGTTGATCCTAATGCTTATTGTAGAATACTAGTATGCCTTTCATCAAATCATATATAAATGTATGATAAATAACAATAAAATACGGAACACTGAAGTTTAAGCATTCCCATTGGAACCATGACAAAAATTGAAAAAAAAACCTTTAAAAATGTAAAAAAAAACATCCAGGACGTTATATCTTTTTATTGATTCATCACAAATAAAAATACAGTTATTTCCTTTTTGCTGTACACATATATCAATTCATTTGTTTTTACAGAGCCGGAAGTATCATTGTAGATTACACAGTCATTATTGATGATAAGGAAAATCAGACTTTGGTAGCTGATACTGTTGTTCAGGCAATTTTGGATCTAGATGAGGAAGGGAGCCTTGATATTGACGGAAATCGTGTTTCAGTCAAACCGAGTATTTCCCATAAATTTATTTAATCTTTTAACTTTTGAAAATAAGACTGATTGATTTTTGTTTAAATGTGCATATAAATCATGTCAGTGTTTATTTCAAAACATGTTTTTTCTACAATATGGTTCTAATTAGACGCTCTTAACGTATTAAACCCGACCATGTCAAAAATTGCACTTTCTATAATAATTATTCTTTTCTTATCATGTAGCTTGTGACTACCGCATTGTGTTCCTGTACTTTCTGGTCTATACCGATTTCAAAAATATACAGGCAGAAATGAAATATTGCCAAAACAATGTACTTATATGTATTTTATTCTAAGTATTTAAAGTCATGTCTAAACATTTTTGGTTTTTTTTTCTTTATTTCTTACACGAATAAACTAATTATTTCTTTTGTTATCTAACCAACCTAGGTAAAAAGTGAACAATATCTTATATTACTGTATTTATCTGTTTTGTGCCTTTGGCATTTGCAACAGCAAATCTTAAGCACTTATATTTCCACAACTGATTTGACCTTTCTATGTTCTCAAAAGCGTTACAACCCGGTATTAATTCTAATGTATGAGAAGGATCACTTGTGTTTGCTGGGCCATGTGGGGGTTGCGTTAGTTGCCTTCCTTAACTATTTTGCTTTTCATATTTTAAACGTTTAAATTTAGATTCACTTGTACGAGGTATAAAATGACATCTTTCGGTTTGCCTTAACTTGAAGTTAAAGACTTGAGCAACAGTTGTATTAAATATGATATATACAACATACATTGTACAGAGAAATAACAAACTATTTATACTAAGGCTATATATTACTTTTCAGTATTACCAAAACATGCAGACCCATGTTACCTACGGGAACTTCTTGCAGGACAGTGTGATAAGAATAGTCGTTGTCAAGTTGTTGGCAACAAGCCAATTTGCCGGTAAAAATAAAAATACTTTTATGTGAAAATGCAATTTATACCTTTATGTCAATTCTCGTTTTTGTACAATGGCTTATTTTATTGTCACACCCGTATTATTTGTGCTGTATGGCTGCTGTAAAAAGTCACCCCGTATATTTAATCTATGATGTTGTACGAGGGTTGTTCAAAAAGTAATAGGACTAAGCGTCTTGCACTTTTATATTTAATTCAATTAATTATATTTTTATATGTACAACGATCGAAAAATGTTTTTTTTTCAATTTAAGAATAAAATTATTGAATGATTGTGCTTAACGCGTTTTCCCTGTGTTATTGAATAACCATGGCAACACGCACCCGGCGCAGCACATAAAAAGTTACTGAAGCTTAGTTGAACTTTTATTTTATTCATAATTTATTATCTTTTTTTCCCTATTTATTCCACCAACACAATTAATTATATTTAAGTGACATCATGCCCAAATTTGACGTCATTTAGACGTGAGATGGCTGAATTATCAAGTTTTGAACTGCAGTGGTCATAACGTTAAATTTAGAAATTTGACGTTCGTGAAAAAACTTAAAATGTGTGCGATCGTTAAACTTTGCCAACAAATTGGCGATACTCCTTCAGATACATATGAAAACATAAAATTAACATAGAACAATTAATCGGCTATCAGGATACTCGTTCTCAGTTTGCGCAAGCAATTCAAAAACTGCACATACGAGATCACAAACCGGAAAGGATGATAATGATAGCTGGAAATTGACGGGACGTTAGTGACGTCAAATGAAAAAGCGCTACAAAATGATCTACGGTAAACAGTCGACGAATTCTCCGGCATGTTTGATTTCTGCACTGCCTGTTCAGTTCTGCCCAAACGATTTGTTATAAACAAAATTCTATTTCATTTAATAGATTTATGTGTTATCAATACATTAATGTAATAATTATTAACGGTAATTATTAATATTTTTCCCCGATTTTCTTTTAAAAATGATACGCTGTTCCTAGTAGGAAAATATACTTTTCAGTTAATTACTATTTTTATTTTACTAACCTAATCATATTGTTTAAAGAACGTACGATGATATGTGTAAAATAATTGTATTAAGCGCTTTTTCATTAACATCATAAGTCCATGCCTGTTTAATCTGTATTGATTCAAGAATACGAGAAAAAGCGGAGAGTGGCTGGCTATTCGGAGTTTTTTTTCGAAGAGTGGAACGAGAATTTGGTCGTTTTCTTTCTCGCTTCATCTCCTCACATGAGGTCTGGTCAAAGTTACATGATTTAGATACCTAGAACACTAGGGAGAATTCTTTCAGAAGGGATGACGCTTGATATTTTCTTTTTATTTGACGACGTCATAAACGTCATTTATTGTGTTGTTAGCGTGCGCCGGGTCGCGAACCCCTTGTCATTTAAAATTTTCACAGACTCGTTATTTTTATACATATTTTATTGATTTTTTCACTGTATATAGAGGAAATGTTCCGATATTATTATCTTGTAAAATTAAGCACGTAAATTAAAAAATATGAACAGCAGAACTGCAGTCCTATTACTTTTTGAACAACCCTCGTATTTTCGTTACTTCAAGGTCGTACAGGACGACATTATTGTTGTGTATACATGTTATGTGGTACTTTTGTTTCTTCTTTTTTGCCCTTTTCAACTTGTGTTGTTCCTGTATTTTAAATTCAAAATTTCACAGTTTTTGTGTTAAATGATGAATTTTGCTTAAACCAGTGCGAAGAGGCGTACAATGTAACTTGCACTTCTAGTACCGCTCATGAACAGACTTAATCAAACCGAGCCTGCAACATTTTCAATTGTGTCGTGTAGGACACTCTTTAGGGATTCTGTTCTTCACTACTTGAGGATATGATTTGTCAGTTACCAGAGTTACGATTTTATTCTTTCTGTTTGATGATTTCTTTTTAATTTTCAGAAATACGTATGACGAAAGTGTCAAAGGTAACACCATATAACATATTTCCCATATACATTAACTATTTTAATTTATAGTATTAGATGAATTATATAAACATAATAATTTCTTAGTCATAAGACACTTTTTAACCGTAAAATATAGTTTTGTTTCAGTTTCGCCTTGACAATGTTTGGGTCCACTTGCGCAAATTTGATAAATTATTAAAAAATCATATTTTTTGAAATAATGAGCATATACATGTAAATATCATTTTCGACTTTTGATAGAACATAATGCTAATCCAATACAAGTGATGTCATCTTTTACGTCAAATGTAGCACTATTGTAAATAAATATCGTCTGACATATATAATAAATATGCATAATTCTGATTTCAGAGGACTATCTTATTATTGTTGGACCAGTCTTGGGAGTTGTTGCTTTTGTAGTGGCAGTAATATTGATGATAATGTGTGCGCTGCAGATCAGACGCTACCGAAAACAATGGTAAATTATAAGAAGGAACCTTGGCATTTTTATTTACTCATAGCTGTTGGTTAATTGACACTAAGACATCGGAGTGAGTGACCTCCCTTTATCTATCCTCTATCAAATGATGTATGCCTATTAACATTTTCTCAAATAAAAACATTTTCTCTTGTGCTTCTGAACCAAAATTGATCATATTTGCCAAGTATTTTCAATTTATGAGGCCTTAATCCGGTTATTATATCAAGCAAAATCAAAAATCAATATCATTTAAAAGATATTTTGTCCAAACCGCAAGTCCCTCAGCTGTTGCTTCTATCGTATTGGTCAACTGTGAAAATTATAACAACCCAGAAAAAGAAAAATTTTATCTGACAATGTTGACATCGCACTTCATTAACTTTCTTAAACTTCATATCTAACAAATATATCGATATATCTGATAGCTTCACGTCAGTGAGTCGCCGTGTATCGGTATAGATGCCGGGCTTACAATCTGAAGGTATCTGGTTCGATTCCTACCCAAGACCACGTTATGATTATAAATTTTTTTTGCAGAAATTAATTTGAAATCGTTTCACTATATCTGATTGCTGGATACCTTTTAAGTAGTATTTTATACAATTTATTTCGTTACGTTATCTTTTCATAAAAAGTACACCGCTTTTATACAATAAATCGCTAAATCGACTAGTCGATGTCATTGGCAGTGTTATAGAGAATAGCAGTTTTAGAATAACAATAAAATGTAATAAAAGTGGGTGAATCAGGACTCGAATTTACGCCTATATATTTTGTGATAAACCTTTACAGACTGCGCTAAGAGGGGCTCCTACTTAAGTCCTTCTAACAACTGGTTATATACATTCAATTAGATCGTAACGTTAACGGAATTTATCGACTATGGGGTCAAATGCAAGAGTGCCAGGTCAATATTGTTGGAAATATCACCTGAAGTCAATAATAGCCCGAATTAGGGGTCAGTAATTTTACATTTACATATATCATAGTACTATAGCATACATTTTTACACAAATTATCTTTCAAAGACTGAATCGGTGTAAATTTGTAAATTAAGAATAATGCGAAAGCTAATTTTGAAACGAATGATAAATTAATGAAAATGGTTAAAGATTCCGTTGTTTTAGGTGAATATGTTGTTAAGGTAAATACTTAAAATATAAGTTAATAGTTTACCCTGTATGACCACGAACTAATAACAACAGTTTAAGGGCGTGATTGGATGCGTAAATACTTGTCATTTGCCCGTACTGTTATTACGTACAAAGAGGATCCATGGGGGTTAGGCTAGCAATTAATACCAAAAACAAATACAGTTTATTCACCATCATTTCGCAGTAATTTTGCAAATTTTAACATCATAACAAACAGGAAGAAAAGAGGAATTAATGAAATATTTATCTGCCCCAAAATGATTTCTTATTTTTAATATTAATGTTTTTGAAATGGTGCATTCTTTTCTCCGTTTTCACTGTCATAAACCATTTTAATTAACCTCAACTTACTGTTGATACGACTACAAATATTTATCTTTGTGATCATAATTATGGTCATAATTTTGATTGTAAATTGAATGAAACAAAATCCCATTCTAAATATTCAAAATAAGTTGATTCCTCATTGACAAATTTCAGTCAAATATATGTCAAAATGATTTTATATCATCTCAATTAAATGAGTATTTAAAAGAATTCTTTAATCTTCTTTAAAATTCTATGAATTAATGTTGATATGGCTTTGTAGTGATGCTCAGTCAGTGTCAACCAAATGCTGTCACACGTGTTATCACCCTTGCAATTACTAATAAATCATTATTGTCCAGGATTAGTAATTCGCATGATAAAAAAAGCTTTGTCTAAAACTTTCCAATTTCTTCCTGAAATGTCATAGTCTTGACAAAATTTATATTGAAGCATTTTCCATTCAATGTAAAAGTGTGTTGTAAATTTGTACACTTTCCATGATATTCGAATTTTACCATTAATTCAATTAATTCAATGCATTGAACAATTTCTTACAGGTTCTTTTAATATGTATAACAAAATTCTGGTATATTTTTTGCAGGTGGCCAAACAGAGGAAAAGCCTCACACGAGTCAGGTAAATGAAAAAATAACATTTATTATTTGAATAGTTTATATTTACGTCAACATTTAAATTTCTATCATGACTATTGTTTTCTTGACTCTCTATTTTTATCCCCTACCTCACCACACAGAAATGGGGTGACATATATTTTTGTCTTCTGTCCGTACATTTAGTAAAGTTATTTCGAAAATTAATCTGAACGGTAGTCTGTTTTATTTCAACATCAATATTACAGACGTAACATGCATATGCACATATGAACCTAACAGGTTCTATTTAACGTAAAATGTAACGGAAATAAATTTCTGAAAACAAAAATAATGTCGCCGGTCATGCCTTTGGTGAAGCTGGTCTTGAATACATTTTATGAACTACTTTAACCAGACAAGACAATCTATTTCAGTACTATCTCTTGTACACATATAAAGATAGATCTACAAACTATTCAGAACAATAACATTATATGCTTATGCTTATATTTTCTAATATGGGGTAAAATTGCAAATTCTTTGACTGGTAATCGATTTATCAATAATAGAGAATGAATTAATCGAAATGTAAGGGACAGGACTATAGGGGAGACATTAAGACGAATATTTATTATTCGTACTTTAACTACGGCTATTTTATAAACTAACGACTTCATGTATATGATTAAATTATACTCTATGTAAATAAATGAACAAATAAAAATGATTCAGTAAACACTTTGAACAAATTGGTTTATATGCATGTACAGCTCAAGCATACTTTAAATAAAAAAAATATATTGAGTACTTAGTAACATTGGACATTAATGGTACTCAATGACCTTATTAACAGTTTTTCTTCTCATAATAGTTTATATGGAAGGCAAAATACAACGCTGTTTACTTTCTACTACTTCAATTTATCTTTCGATAACCATTCAAAGTATGTAGTAATTTCCTCCTTTGAGGCCAATATAATGAAATGTTTATATTTTAGGAAAGAGAATGATCAAGTTGTCTTTTCTGTATTGAATAGGAACATATGAAGCACCACCTTACTTAGGTCGAAAGAACCTGATTTGGAATTTTAACAGAGGGGCCGCCTGCTCTGCTTCATTACCAAGTGTACGTATGTTCAGCTATAAACTATTATTTTGGTATAATGTCATTGCCCACTTTTCGGCGTTGGTTAACCTTTTCGATTACGTCCATACCTCAGAAACTGTGAAAGCTGTTCAATTCAAACTTGGTGGGCCTGATTGTAATTATAAAAGGACGTCATTTTAAAAAGACAGAATATCCTGAATTTATTAATTGCATTCCATTGCCATCTTTTCAACGATTTTCGCCCTGTTCTGGTAACTTTTTTGTTTGTTTCAATTAATTCACTTCAAAATTGTATACAATCATGTTCTTTATATGACAACAGAGGAGCGGGTACTCGAAAATTGAAAATTTATTACTCTGTTGGACCAGATTATTTCGATAGCTTGCAAAGGATAATTGCTCAAAACCTGTCAAAAATAGCACTTTAATACATTCTTTATTTGAATACATTATTTAAAGGCAAGTACATTATTTTTTTTTCATTTTTACTCATTTTTGCACCCCATTTAACTTAAATGGCATAGTTATCATTTTTGTAGTGATACTTTTCCCCAGTCCTCAATCAAACATATTTACTTTAAAATTGGATTATTTGTTTGGATTTCTCGTTCAATGTCAAATTGGAAATGCATGTCTAAGGGCAAATAACATTGCTCTATTTTTTGTTTGCTTGATTATTTCCTCTTTTATATTTGCTTTTCAAAACCCAAGTATTATGTAATCTTTTCAAACTTGATATATTTGTTAACTATCAAGGGCAAACTTTGAAACTTTGAAATAAGTACTGTGACATCGTTAAAGTAAAATAAAACCCATTTAACTTTATAATATCCATTTATTGTCATTAGGCATAGGCACCCAAACATCAATATGGCTTATTCATAAATTATTTTAGTTTCTATTAATGTATGCAAAGTAATATTGGGAACATAAAGAAGTGTCTTACTGCCTCGATACCGTCCTCCCCGGGTGATAATAAAACAATTGTTTTCTTTTTAGTTCAAGGTAAATGGTGGCCGTTCATTCCCGTGGATGGCTGGTGGCAACGATTTGAATTCTCCATACGTATGTATTATTGTTGCTTATAGAACTGGAAAAAAATAATAATTTGGCGATAATATTTTATAATACGTTTATTTACTGCGAGAAACGTACTCACTAATATTAATGAAAGCATTCGGTCCGGTTTAAACTGCAATTTAAAATGTTCTTCCAATCTGTATTATTAAACGTTCCTTGCATAATATGAATATTATATTATGATGCATAGTCCATCATAGAAATACGTGTACAATAAATTAATTGTTTCATTTATTGTTTGTTTTACGCCGTTTTAACTTAGATGTCATATGGCGCCTTTCCAGCTTAACTGGTAAGGGAAAACCTTAGGTGACCCTCCTTTTATTATTTTAGGCAAGTACAGACATCTGATTAGACCTACATGCATTTCCGTAAGCTAGTTCGATAGATTATTATTTTTGTGATTTCTCAATTTTTTACAGATGGATGGACAATGATGACCAAATTGGTTCTGAATAATTCAAGTTGTTCATGTTTTTCACATATGGCGCTTTTACGCTTAACGTTATTTCTAAATGTTTAGACATTCATATTTTACGCGAGAATATTAGCAATGATTTTCATATCACATACCTTTTTCAGAAGTGTCATACATATCAATCATTTATTTTTCATCATTGATACTTATAAAAGCTTATTTTGTAATAATTGCAAAAGGTCACAAAAGGTCACTTCAAATGACTGTAATATAATAAAGTTCTTGAGTTCATTTTATAAGAGGCATTCGTTTTGTCGGAGCCTGTTCATGGACTGTCTAGTGCAAAGTACCAGCCCGCCTCCTAGCACAAGCTTAAGCAGAATTCAACATTAAATATGAAAATGATGAAAATTCATACAGCGGTTATGATGGACTTTGAATGCGACACTTTCGTACTTGAAGGTTCTCCATGAAAAGCGGCATATGTTCCCTGAGTAAAAGAAAATGTGTCTCTTAAACTTGAAAACAATGGGCGGAACTAAACTAAATGGAATTTTGAAACGTGATCATAAAGACTGCATGCTACAGATAAGACGTAAAAAGACAAATTTAAAAAATGAAACTGGCAATTAATAACATTATCAAGTGTATGTAATATTATAATCAATTCGGAAATTTAAAGCAATTATCCTGTATATAATATTATCATACCTCTTTCTCTGCTGCTGACTTCTTGTTATACTGCTTATTTGTTTGTTTTTATAAATAAAACATAAACAATGAAGAAGTTATATTATTTTATATCATTTGTTCTATTCAATGATTAACATCTTATACGCCATATCTACAAAACAAAAACAAAACACAAAACCAAAAACATCATTATCGTATGTATGTGTGTTGAAATTGATAACAATTGTTTCTCACTTTTTAATAAACTAATATTGTTTTTACATTTTGTACCGTGCTTAACAATATCAAAGACAAATTCAGGAGGTCAAATTCCAATACATCACTTCAATGTTTTTTGTATGGTGTATAACAACCCAAAATATGTATATAGGAATATATTGGAACTATAAATAAAGATTGACTGCGACTCCTTAATTAAGGGGCTGTGTTTTGTGAGCACTGTCTTTCTTTTTTGATCTTAGATCTACTTTGACCTAATATTTTACTAAAGATTTTTTTGTTATATTTTTTATCTAATTTTGTTCTTATTGGCTCGTCAAAGTTTGAAATCTTTAAGTCATTCCATTAAGAAATGCTGTACCGATGTTCAGTCAACGTGTTTAAAGTGTTTGTTTGTTACTCACACCAACACTGTATAGGTGATTTTCTGACTTTGGTGGAAGATGAAAACCTCAGGGGCCCCTTTGTGCGTTATTATAGGCACATAATGCATGTAATGGCACCGGAGTAGAACCACTAACCTTTCATAGGCTAATAAACAACATGAAAGAATATAAAACACTCGCTTTAGGGGCGAGAAGGCTTTTCATTTTCAAAAGGAATTCTGCTAATTTGAGAGGGTAGTTTCCCCTCTCTTAAGATTGTACAGACAAACATGTATCAAACGTATTGATTTATAAACCTATCAACATTCATTTGAACAAGGCCCATCTAACTTTAAACTTGCATTCAATATTAAGATGGCCATATGCTTACGATGAGAACTATCATCTTCAATAGTGAAAGCATTAGTGGAATATATCATTTCAAATCTGTCACTGATATACTATTTCATAGAAGCTATAATATCAAAGTACTCTTACAACGGAATTATATGTGTCATGAGATGCCATTTCCTTAGAAATACACGTGTCAATAGAAATCTAAGCTTTCTATTAAGCCAAAAGAAAAAGGTAATATTTAGAATAAATGTACAAATTGTATGTGTATTTTTACTTTGCATTAAACACACTAGGTACCTGGTACATCATCTACATTATTTATCTTTCTTCGTCTCTTTCCTGAAAAGAACTCAATTTCTGAACCCTTTATTAGTAAAATAAAATACAAATACATTGACCACTTAGTCTATACATGTTATAGTTGTAAAATATAAAACTCTCAAAGGTCGAATCATATGACATGTTTTGCAAGAAAACATGCGCCGTTAAAAATTAGCAGAACCTTGTTGCAGTTAAAGGTACATCATTAAATATTTGAAATATGTTTTAAAAAATATATGTGTCTGTATAATAGTTTTTATAAACCAAGCATCATTTTCATATTTCTATCAAGTTACATCTTATATGCAGATCTTAAAATAGTCCCTTTATTCAGTTATAATTCAATGGTTAAAGTTATATTGATTAGTCGTCTATCGGTAATTTGATTTATTATTTGATTATACTCTCCAATGGCTAGAGTAGAAGTGAAATAAGCGAAACTGAGGATCATTCAGTTCAAGATATCACAAGAGTCGGAATAGATATGTGTATATGGAATTATTTCATATATTTGTCAATGAAGATAACATTAGCCACAACGCACGGCACATGTTTGAAAACTTACCTTTGCACACAATTATGATAAGATGAATAGTCTGATAGGGACTTTAATTTTTAGGCTTTTGAAGACTTAGATAAAAACATATTAAAAGCGATATTCAAACTTTGTTTCGAAAAGAGGGTTACAAAGAATATTTATACAAATGATGTCGTGAAGAAGAAGAAAAAAATAAAACATCATCTGAGACAGAATTGAGATGAGTGTAAACCGTTGACATCGTAATCAGCAGGGGAATTGAATATAGCACCAACAAATGAATCGAATAGCTGACATTTTATTTTAGGTTAAACTTGAAATACGTCACGATGGTGGAAAGGAATGGACATCTTCAAAATTCTGATCTTTTAGATAAATTCATTTGCGTTTTTCTGCGTTGTGGCTTGTACTTTCTTGTGCAACTTTTACCATCGCACATATCAGCGACATTTCATGTTTGATGGACATAAAAATATTTTTGTCTTTTGCATTTTTTTCCTCTAGTACTCCGATGACTATACTAGATCTTTTTGCATCGTCTAAATTCAAGTGAGGAAATAACGCATGGGGGAATGTGTCGATGATTCGAAGTACCGTCCGTTATTCAAAATATGGTTTACTGTGTAATGAAACGTGCTCAACTATTTGAACAAATGAGGAAGAATATATTTTAGATATTATCACCATCATTATCATCATCATCATCATCATCATCATTATCATCATTATCATTATTATTATTATTATTATTATTATTATTATTGTTATTATTATTATATTAATCTTTTTTTTTGCTATTACACATAGGAAACTTCAAGGTAGGGAGTGTATTTCGTAAATATCATTATAGAAAACACTAGCCTTTGCTTGCATTGCGAAGTAACGTAAGGTTACAAGCAAAACTGAACTAACATGTTCGCTTTTAATAAATCAAGACAATCCGAGAAATTAATCATCTCATTGATTTTTGTTATCTTATCATTGGTTTAAGTATACATAACTTGATATTAGTCTCTAATAAATGTGCTACTAAGGAAGGGTGTACAGAAGAGCTTATAAAAGTCAAAACAATATTTATTCCCATGAGAAAATTAAAGAAATTCGGTCAACGTATTACAAAACATTCATTTAGGAAGATACTTTCTATAACATAAACATATCTTGTTAATTTCTCAATGATATCAGGAAGTAATTATTTGTCAGTCGCAGCCGCATCCTTTCTGAATGAGGAAGATTGAAATAAAGGAGCGGACAATTAAGCAGGAAAACGCCCAGAGTAGAATGAGAAAAAAAATAACAAGATACATAGAACCACAAAAAAAACTTTTCTTAAAGTTAATATAAATGAATTGAAATACATTATCTTACTTTCTTGGACTTTACATTTGAATATCTTTTATATATCAAGTATCTTCTTAAATAACAAAGAGCATGTGTTCACCTTGGCAATGTTGAAAATATGACATTTCATTTTTGTACAAGATTTACACCAATTAAAACAAATAATAATGTAATGAAATATAATATTTTAAAGAATGTTTGTGAAATTGGGTTGGTCGTGATTAATAAAAGAGTAACTAACATTTCATATGGACGCCAGGCCTTTTTTAAAAATTGATTATTAAATTTGTTTGGAGAATTGATTTAGTGATTTGAAAGAAATTCTAGTATGCGCGTTATATATCATGGAATTCATTAAACAAACCTGAAAAACAACATACAAGAAATGTTGACATTGGTATAACACAATTCTATTTTTTTAACTAACGGTGAAGGAGTATAAATAGTATGTTGGAATTATAAAGTATGGAAGTATCAAATGCGATTAGCTATGTCTGTTCTGCAAATCTCGACAAAAGTTTTATTTATTAATTTATTTATTTATTTTTTACTTATTTATTTATTCATTTATTTAATATTTATTTACTTATTTTTATTTATTTATTGTTTTTGTCTCGTCGACTTCTCGATACATATGTTTATACATGTATAAATAATAAACCTAATCGAGCATAATAGCATTTTATACTTAGTTATACACGTACTTTACGTATTCATGTATTTTCATTGTGATATGGTAAATATAATGGCCAATTCTTTTGGGCGGGTTCGGAATATCATCCAATCGTGACTGTTACATAATTATAAAAGTACATGCATGTTTTATTTAGTGTCATTTGTGCGATCATGAGCGGTGCAATAAGGATAGCTTTAATCGCCTTCCTTGTAAGGTAGTTATTTTATTCGGTTGTAAATAAATATCTTTTTTTAATATTTATTTATTATCATTTAATTTGTTGCTTAATTTTAGATGAATTTTTATATTATTTTATTTGAGTTCTTATCTTAATTTTCAGTAAACATTTAGCTCTTGATGAGGTTACATCTATGTCATTTTTACGTAAAGTACAGACTGATTTCTTTTTGAACATTGAATATGATCTTTTGAAATAATTGTTGTTTGTAAGTATTTGTTTATTCAGAAAATGAATCGTTATCTTTTAGGAAGAATTTATTTATGTTTTGAACGGGAATGCTTTTTGAAAACTTCAAACAAAACCCACTGCATTAACCAAATTTTATTACAGAAATAAAATTTGTTGTGAAAGAACTGTTTAATTTTACATCACATGAGAATTACATAGGGGCCACTGATTGTTATATTCCTTTCAAACGAATTAGCAAAGTGTCTTACAAAGATTGTTGTTGTTGTTATTGTATATCGCTGGAGATGGTGCTAAAGGAGCATGATAGATCTTACACCTGTCATTATGTCCAATTAAACGATTCAATCAAACATAATAAACCTTTCAATTTTAGAAATAACTTTATTTAAGTTTAGTTTAATTCAAATGCAAATTATACATTTACGGAGAAGATTACCATAATGGCAATGTTAATGGTTCACCAAGGAATTAATGCATAATAATTATAAAAATAGTATGAATAGTAGTAATAACTATTTTATCAGCAGTTTTTGCATCTTTTTAAAGTCATATTATGTTTTGAGTTGTCTTTCTTGTCTTGGGGATGTCAAACACTTAAATTTTAAAATAGAATCACGTGTTGTTTTTTTTTCCTGGTAGAAAGCCTGTAGTCCAGGAGTTACATACTCTCTTATCTTTTTAAATCCCTTTCAAAGCAAAATTCTGTATATATTTAATCTTATTCAAACTAGCTAAGTCATTCTAGATAGGTTAAGGAATTCAGATACCTTTTTGCAACTTTTACAATGCTTGAAGATGTTTATGAATTAAGTATTATCATAAAAGCTATACCTGGACACTGGTTTGAGTGGATGGAAAAAATGTGCAAACCTTGATTCTGTGAAAAAAGCCAGTTTGTTTTACTTTTATGCTTGTATTTGATTTCGAAAAAAAATGCTACCAGCATTGATCATGTGATACATAATTAAAATTATTATTGTAACAACAAAATCTTATTTTATATGCAAAAATAACTTCTCAAACTATATTATGGAGATTCAATTTTTGCAATAATATTAATGGGAATTGAAGCATCAAAGATTGATGGTGAAATGTGCTAATATTTAAAACTATATATGTATTCAACTATCAAGAAAACAACATAAGGAAATGACAAGCTGATTCATATCTGTGTCCCGTCTGGGTTCATTTTTCTTAAATTTTTAATACGTTTGATAAGATATCACTGATCATTTCCCCATATCATGCCAATTCCGTATGGTATGATATGATCAATACATTTTGTACAACAGGGACATTTTCCTGTTCGGAATAAGATAATATTATGCTGGTAAAACCACTATCAGTGTTCTAATCCACATTATCTGACGGGTCATTCTATGTTTTCCTACACCAGATGTTTGTCATGATTTGGTAATGAAAAATTATAATTTGTTTATGTCTGACATGTATGAATCTACGCTATCACACATTCTTTCTTTACTATAAAAGAAAACTATGACCACTACTTTAGGGAATCGCTTCAATGAATCAGTGATAAACAGAACAGTAACTTCCTTTACAAATTACATAATAAACGCATACGAACGCTCAAAACAGCAAGAAAAATGACGTTGTAAAAGGACCAATTGGTTATCTTTTTTATTTTATGTTAAAGATTGAATTGTCCTTATTTTTGAAAATATGCAATGTATTTTTTTTATATTTATGATAATTGATTTCTATTGACATTCGTAAATATACATATAGAGGATATTTGTTAAGTTCAGTGTAAGATCGGAATATATTTCACCGAGTGAGCACCAAAAGGTATATTTCACGAGTGGCGCAGCCACGAGTGAAATATGAACTTTTGGTGTTCACGAGGTGAAATATATTTCGATCTTACACTAAACTAAACAAATTTTCTTTTTATTACATGCTAAGAAACGTTTAAAAAGACATTTTATCCTAGTACTTAATGAAAAGCGCGCCATATTCTAATACAACGTGTCGTCATTTACGACGTCATGTCATTAAGCTGGTTTCCAGTACTGTGTACGCTGGTATTTCACTGAGACAACGTAACGGGCTTAAATTCAAAACAGTGAAATTATCAAATTGATAATTTCTCTGTTTCAAACAGTGAAATTACCAGTTTATAAATCACTGATATATTTCTATAATCCACCGAAAATGTAATAAATTGCATTTATGTTTAGATATCTGCACGATATATTTCATCATATACATGTTATGTCTAAATCGGTGTACAATGTTAGACGTGTCTGCACAATTGACTATATTGGCGATTGATAAATCAGTTATGAAACAGACATATTTGCACTTTCGGTTTTTCAGGGGTATATATGCTGGGTATTGTAATACCACGTATTCATGTCAAGCAACATGTTCTAATATACAGACGTACACAAAAGCATGCGGATGGTTCAACTGGGGCAGATGTCCAGCATCTCGGTAACTTTCAAGACTATTCAGATTGAAGCGTTTATCTCTATTATACTTTTAAAATTTATTAGATAACAAAAAACTAAAATGTGATATTTCAACATTTCTCTACAACAAAATAAAATAGTTGTCAAAATTCAAATATCATTTTAAGTAGTGCATAAGTTGACATTTTTGCATCGGAAACAGAACGTGAACTATTACGTTATCAATACATATTTCCTTAATAAACTACGAACTTTTTTAATTCTGAAATCACTTTGCGATGTGGAAACTTCCCGTGGTCCGGTTTCCGGGCACCTGGGATCTTAGATGTATATATATACATACCCCCTTTGCCATCTATATCAGCAAACCTGCCATGCAGATTGCTAATCACCTTGCAAAATTTATACAAAACACGCTTCCTTGCTGTTATTTCTGCTATCCTCAGTCATCTGTCTAATTCAAACTATTTGTGTAATAAATTTAGAAAGGTTTATGAAATATATGCCTATGACGAAATAATCAAGATAATAGAAATCTTATATTTAGTCATTGAGGATTATTTTGCATTAACATGGCATGAAAGCATGATTGAGTGATTAAGTGATTCACTATTATTTCATACGAAAGGTGTTCCAAAATTTATGTTACTTTTGTGTTTTCTCTTTGATATAATTCGTTAAAAAGCATTGTATCTTGCACTGCCCCTCCCCCTCTACCCTAATGAACGTTTTCAGTCGATCAATCCACTTTTTGAAACAGTTTTCGTACATTTCAATGGGTATACTCATAAGATACTGGTAAATGGCAAAGCCCACAGCATTTCTAGATTTGTACTTTTATCCAGACCGGTGAAATTTTAGGTTGGGGAACAAGAAATATTTACAGGGAGCTAGGTCTGGTGAAAATGCGGGGTTGTGGAGGACAGTGACCTCTTCCGCCATCAAAAAATCCGTAACAATTCGTGCCTTGTGAGCTGGCGCATTGTCATGCCAGATCTGAGGTACTTCAAACCTGTTTGTGGGCGGCGGCGTTTACAGCGTTACTTAAGTTTGCAAAGTACAATGTCTCTGTAGTACGTGCCTGCGACAGTTTTATCATTCGGCACAAGAATTTGCACGACTGGGCCCTTGTTATCAAAGAAATATTACATACAAAACCTTTTAATTTCTTTTAGCAATGCTTGGGCGCCTTGCGTTTTTGGTCGCCCAGATTTGATTAGAGCATTTTCGTTTGGGTTCGAAAAAATACACCCATGTTTCGTCACCTGTGACCAAGTTGCCGAAAGCCTTTTTGCTGTATTTTTGGTTATTTGTTTCAACAAAAGTTTGGCCTTTTCAACTCAGGACCTCTTTTGGTCGCCAGTTAGTGAATGTGATATCTACCTAGCATTAATCTTACTTAGCCCAAGATGTTTCTTCAAAATGCAATGAACACGTACTAAAGGCTAGTTTGTCATTCTAGCCAACTGCTTGACAGTGTACCTTGCGTCTTTCTTCAGGATTTGTCAATGATATCAATGTTATGATTTGTCGATGCTGTTGCAGGGCGGCCTGTGTGAGCAGCATCTTTCAGCTGCTGGTGTCTCGACTTAAATCGACCAACCCACCTACAAACAGTCATATACGACCCTTGACCCTTCCCATAAAGAACACACGTCTCGCGATGAAAATTCTTTGGCTAAAAACCAAGCAGAGACCTACTTTTGATAAAGACCCTAACTTCAATCACGTTTTCAGTCCTCTTTCCAGCCATATTTGTATGAGTGTAACGATTACGCTGCAAAACAATGTACACAGTACCAAGGTTAGTGTAATTGTATGCGAGATATTGACCAATACTACTCTCCAGGTATCACGCTATCGACATGTATTGGATTTGAGTTCATATAGCATGATTTCCCCCAAGAGATAGAACCCGAGTAACATTTATTTTGGAACACCCCTCGTATGCACTATCACGTTTGACAAACAATTATTTGCATTACTTTATTCCATTCAGAACCGTCTACACGCATTGTACAAAAACATGCTACAAAAAGAAATGTTGTTTTGGCTATACTGGAATAAGCTGTAACAGACGTAAGTCTGCCTATTACTTATCCACTCTACCTTTTGAAGCTATATTTAATGACTTTTGTAATTTCTATTTTTACGAACTATTCTTCGTTGGCAGAAATTATTTACAATAACAAAAGATCAGCATATCCTACCATTTCAGCAAATTTCAATTAGTTTATACTTATTTCTTTTTTCAGTTAAAATGTATTCTTGCTCATTTAATCAACGTCTTGCCCCTGACGGGGCTTGAACCAACGTTGTCAGCAACCGACGAATTAACCAATTGGCCACGCCGCCACACAATATCATATTTACTATTCAGTACCATTAGCAAAATTAATTACAGTATATTTTGTGAGGATTTTTTTTAATTTTCTAAAATAAAATATGTTTAATAATATTAATAATATTTGTGAGTCATAGAAATTGAATTTTTAAGTTCAACGTTATCATTTAAATGATATAATTATACTTTATCATTTGTACAGCTTTGTGTTTTGGTTCATATTCGTGTCCTAACGGTGGTACATGCCAATCTCCAGACATGTGTAGATGTCCACGTGGCTTCAACTCGCCCAGGTGTACTGGTAATTACAATTATTTTCAGATTGCGTACAATGAAGATTATTTTGGTAAGGAGCTTGATAAATATATCTGTACATAATTTGCCAAATAAATTATACTCTCTGTATCACTTCATTAAACACAAGAAATTTTGTATCGTAATAACGTTAATGCAAATATGTAAGACTTAAATAATGCTGAATTTCACTTGCCTGAAAATGAATCACACTTTCTGACTTCCGTGCATTTCTGGCAAAGCAATTTTAACTATAGTAAGATGCAAGATGAAGCCCTTTAATGTTGTTCTTGTATTTGAAATTCTTGGTACAATTTTTGGAAACTAGAATGTGATAAAAATGAAATGTATTCAGATATAACTAAAAGTCTTTTTTAATAAATGACATTAACAAAATTGAGTAAATGTGTGATCCTACTTATTGTACAAAAAATCAATAACTATTTTTGAAATTTTGTAGAAGTGTTTTTGCTGGTTTGTTTTTATCATGATCTAATTTTTTTAAAGATATTGACGAATGTAGCAGGAACACACATGGGTGCCAGCACAATTGTGCTAATACTTATGGCTCTTACCATTGTTCATGCAGAGCTGGCTTTAGCCTGACCTCGGATCTCAAGTCTTGTATAGGTATCGTTGTGTATCATTCTAATATCAGAACTAATAAATGTCCTAGTTATTAACTTGTGTTTTGGTGATTGCTGGAATGTTAATTCTTAATCATTGTGACTCTATTTATAAGTTTATATTTATGACTCTGTGAAACCTATATTGACACGGTCTCATTAATTGAAGACGATTCTAGACAATATCTGTTTTTTGTGTTTCTTTATATGTCTAAATATCTCGAGCATTTTTTTCAAAGGATATCTTTAGGAAATCTTTATGTTAATTCTATAGATCATAAATGTATTGGATTAGATTTACTAAGAAAGTTTAGAATTAATTTAATTTTCAATGTTTTTTGTGATTAGATAATTGCACCGTTCAAAAAGTATAGAAATTTATTTACTAAAAGTTATTCTGACCTTTGCTGGAACAAAACAACATTTTTAACAGAGATTTTAATGGTGCAGGCAAGAGTGTGTGTTTATTTTGGACCATACAATATTATTTTAATATCGAGAGATTTTAAAGCATCTTGAACATTGTAAAATGACCTTATATAGTTTACATAGTTGTTTGTTTAATAATTAAATAAAATGATGTTTTAATGGTTCTGGTTATTCTTTATGATACATTTTAGGGTTAGACCGTATGAGTATAAATAACAGTATATCAACATTAGAAATGTATTATTACATAAAATGTTTAATAGTTCATCTAGTGCTGGATGTAAAGAATTTAGTTATTAGTAATGAAATTCATAATTTTTATAGCAATGGAATGACACACAAACAATTGAAAGAAGTTTCTCGACAGGATTCGTATCTACAGATATTTTACATCAAAATTTACGATATCAGTATATCATTGAATCATATAAAACATAAACATCATGGCAATTTTGCATACTACTGTCTTTCTTTGGTAAACTCTTTAACGATCATATCACCATGTCTGTGTTTTAACATGTACCTACTGGTATTAAATTCTATAATATCATATTGTACCGTTTTAAGTATTAATTTATTTGTTCCTGAATTTTGATGAAGTAAAGATCAAGTGTGTTAAAGAATTTGACTTCTTATTTGTTATTCAACAATAATAATAAAAATATTTGTCTAACATAATCAGGTGTTTTATTGAACAAAACTAAGAAACGCATGCTCACGTATTTTTTGTGATTGAATTTAGTTGCTTTATTAAGTGTATAGAAATATTGTTATGTAAAAGCTTATTTACAAAACATGTAAGCTATTTTTATGAATAAATTTACCTAACTCTCAGTATGAATTCATAACATAATATTTTAGAAATAGTGTTGTCTATAATGAGGAAAACTTTTGTAGGCACAATACAAAAATATTCATTCTTATTTTGAATCTAAGGATAGCTTCCACAAAGGAAATATCCAATATTTCCTGGCGATAGTTGATCTCGAGTCAGAATACAGCAAGTGGCCGTTATTGTGAAGCCATTTCATATCGATACACAAAATCAACAACGTGATAATTTCGTGTGAGACTTGGAAAAGGAGGGTATAAACAATTATGTATCAAAATGACCATGGTTCACATAGATTGTGAATTGAAAAAGGGGTATAGAAGTTGTAGTTTCACAAAAAGCAAAATTGCAAAATGAATGTGAAACAAATACTTATATAGATATGTTCAGTCAAATGCTTGTAGGTCACAAGGGCTTCAAATATACTTAACCCTTTCCCCCATGAGCATAATTGTGAAAAATGGCCGTTTTTCAAACTGACAAAGCCTGTTACAAGGTTCAAACTGCTATGAAAAAGCAATGAAAAATGCTTCAATACTAAATAAACTTGGCACAAAATGTTGACTGGACCATTGCCCATTGGTAATACATGCTCAGTCTTAAATTTCCTGTTACCATGGCAACGAGGGGACATTCTCAAAATTGCCAAAAAAAATCACTATTTTTACCTCGATTTCTTCATCAAAAAATTTATTTCAAAGTGCTGCAAACTTCTCAAAGGGATTGAGATAGAGTCAAAGGCTTTTCAGCGTTGGTTACACGTTACATTATGATCGACCTGGGGTCATTTTTTAGCCTCTCACAAGTCCAAAATTTTCTTGGCGATGAGGCGGAATCCGCCCCCCCTTCAAACCCCCTAACAGAAGGGGGCACATCCCCTTTCTGGCAACCCCCTGATGTATCTTTTGGATGGGGGGCGGCGCCGAAAAAAAGTGCTCAATTTTTTTAGCAACATTTCTGAAACGAAAACATGTGTTTGGGGCCCAAATAGGACATTTTTTCACTCTTTGAGGCCTAAAAAAAAGGGGGGGGGTCGAAAGTGCGTTGTTTCGCGTATATATGAGGTAAAGGGTTAACAAAAAATGATGAAAAACTTTGGAATCACCTAAAAACTAAGTTTTTCCATGTTAACATGTGGTCTTTCACCTAATTTTGGTGAAAAATTGTTGTTTTGTAACATCTTTATTTTTTTAGTTAACCCTCTCCCCCATGAGCATATTGTGAAAAATGGCCGTTTTCACTGAAAAGCCTCCTGTTACAAGTTCAAACTGCTATAAAACTATGAAAAATGCTTCAATACTAATCGAACTTGGCACAAATGTTGACTGGACCATTGCCATTGTAACTACATGCTCAGTCTTAAATTTCCTGTTACCATGGCAACGAGGGGACATCTCAAAATTATCAAAAATCACTATTTTACCTCGATTTCTTCCATCAAAATTTATTTCAAAGTGCTGCAACTTCTCAAGGGATTGAGATAGAGTCAAAGGCTTTTCAGCGTTGGTTACACGTTACATTATGATCGACCTGGGGTCATTTTTAGCCTCTCACAAGTCCAAAATTTTCTTGGCGATGAGGCGGAATCCGCCCCCTTCAAACCCCCTAACAGAAGGGGGCACATCCCCCTTCTTGCAACCCCCTGATGTATCTTTTGGATGGGGGGCGGCGCCGAAAAAGTGCTCAATTTTTTAGCAACATTTCTGAAACGAAAACATGTGTTTGGGGTCCAAATAGGACATTTTTTCACTCTTTGAGGCCTAAAAAGGGGGGGGGTCGAAAGTGCGTTGTTTCGCGTATATATGAGGTAAAGGGTTAAGAAATCTTTTCCTCATATACTGCAATACCCAGAGCTAAGATATTTAACATGTTGCATCACATTGTGTACCTCGATATAAACAATGCCCACGAGGTCAGAATTGGCGACCCCAATTAGGGAGTTGTCAAATAGTTATATAGTGTAAGGTAAATTCTACCCTCCAAAATTGCCAATGTCAAGAGCTCAAAAAATTGGCATGAACCGTCACATTAATGATCCTCTAAAGACGTTGTATAAATTGTGTCCCTTGGAAACAAAGATTGGCCCCTTTCCGGGGTCAATTCATTTTTAAATATTTATACAGTTAAACATATCTAATGCAATGCAATATTTCTCAGCGGACATCAACAAACATTTTGTCAATAATGTAGTCTTGATCAAAACTGACAAACCCGAATATATTATATTAAATACTTATGCATTGACGGTGGCAATCTTTATCTAACGCCCTCATGGTCCAATTGATTTTGATTATCAACTTCGGTTAAAATCTGACTTGCTCCGCATGTTACTTGATTTCGTATAGTTATATATTCTTTTTAACTCCTGACCAGGTTTTTATAAGTCCCTGTTGTATCCATAATGTTTTGGTGTGTATTGAGGTATAAAGATAATATTGAGTTTTCTTTTCGCCTAAAGAAATAGACAAATGCATGGAGTATGTCGCATTACGCTGTCAAACTTGTGGCAACAAAGATATTTGGTACCTTTGAGTGTAATTGCATTTTTTTTATGTTCAGAGGTTCCGAAGTTTGAAAATCAGCTTTACAATCAGACTGTCTTATACGGCAGCGATGCTACATTCTTCTGCAATGCTACAGGTGATCCGGAACCTGATATATTTTGGTTAAGGAATGACACAGTTATCCCAGGAGACCGTTTAAATGTGCTAACCGTTTCAAAAGTTACCGAAAATGATTCTTATGACAAGTACAATTGTATTGCTGGGAATGAAGTGACTAATATCACCTCTTCTGATGCTTATATAAATGTGGTACTGCAAGGTAAATACGCTACATAATGTTAAGAAATAATAAATCTTAAATACGAAATAATTGTATAGTGGTAATTTCAAATATTCTCATTCTCTATTGTTATGTTTAGACAATATGTCAAATATTCATGTTTGCAATGGTAATCGACTAGCGTGTATGACAACACATATATTGCGTTTGTAATTTAAGTTCCTACTAAAATTTTCAAGCTAAATACAGCGTTTTACTTTGAACAACCTATGTTACTTACAGAATTATTCTAGTGTTCTGTACGTATCATTTTACAATTATATCATACAGATGTTAATGAATGTAAATATGGTGGACATAACTGTACACACGTGTGTAATAACACGATAGGGTCATACATTTGCTCCTGCTTTGACGGATACTCTCTTGATGAAGATGAAATAACATGTTCAGGTAATTTAAATGTCCTTTTAATCTTGTGCCACATTAAAATGTTTTTAATTGTACGTAAGGTATTTGTTAATAAAACAGAAGCTATTATAATGAATGTTTGTCTTTTTTCAACGGGTACAACTGAAAATAAAGGTTCAAAGAGGTATAAATTGTGACCTTACATTTGCATCGATACACAAAACTTATTTAAGGGCGATAAACACACGTCATGTGTGTGGTAAATAAATAATGACTTTGTGAGATGAAAAAAAAGGTTTTATAAATTATTAAACTTATGTCGATATATTATAGAAATTATAACAATAACAATATACGTAGCAAAGATATTATTCAATTCTTTTCATTTGTTATCACATAACACACAGATATCGATGAGTGCAGTACAGAACAGAGCGTTCTTGTTTGTGATCAAATATGTAAAAACCAAGTAGGCTCATACACTTGTTCTTGTACAGATGGATATACACTACAAGAAGATATGAGAACATGTGTCGATTTTAACGAATGCCTGGATAACAACGGTGGTTGCCATAGCATATGCAACAACATTGTCGGCTCATTCATTTGTACCTGTAATGAAGGATATAGTTTACAAGATGACAACAAGACATGTGTCGATATTGATGAATGCCTGAATGCAAGTGGTGGTTGTGATCACATATGTAGCAACCTAGATGGTTCGTTTACATGTTCTTGCAAAGGCGGATATAGTTTGCAAGAAGATATGAGAACATGCATCGATATTAACGAATGCTTGAATGCAAATGGTGGTTGTGATCACACATGTAGCAACCTGAATGGTTCATTCGCTTGTTCTTGTAACGATGGATATAATTTACAAGAAGATATGACAACATGTGTCGATTTTAACGAATGTCTGGACAACAACGGTGGTTGCCATAGCATATGCAACAACATTATTGGCTCATTCATTTGTACCTGTAATGAAGGATATAGTTTACAAGATGACAACAAGACATGTGTCGATATTGATGAATGCCTGAATGCAAGTGGTGGTTGTGATCACATATGTAGCAACCTAGATGGTTCATTCACATGCTCTTGCAACGGCGGTTATACTTTACATGAAGATAGGAGAACATGCATCGATATTAACGAATGCCTGAATGCAAGTGGTGGTTGTGATCACACATGTAGCAACCTAGATGGTTCGTTTACATGTTCTTGCAAAGGCGGTTATAGTTTGCAAGAAGATATGAGAACATGCATCGATATTAACGAATGCTTGAATGTAAATGGTGGTTGTGATCACACATGTAGCAACCTAGATGGTTCGTTTACATGTTCTTGCAAAGGCGGTTATAGTTTGCAAGAAGATAGGAGAACATGCATCGATATTAACGAATGCCTGAATGCAAGTGGTGGTTGTGATCACACATGTAGCAACCTAGATGGTTCGTTTACATGTTCTTGCAAAGGCGGATATAGTTTGCAAGACGATAGGAGAACATGTGTCCACATTGATGAATGCCTGAATGACAACGGGGGTTGTGATCACACATGTATCAACCTAAATGGTTCATTAATATGTTCTTGTAACGATGGATATAGTTTACAGGAAGATATGAGAAGATGTGTCGATATAAACGAATGCCTTGTCAACAACAGCGGTTGTGATCAAACATGTAGGAACCTGGGTGGTTCCTTCATATGTTCTTGTAACGGCGGATATAGTTTGCAAGAAGATGGGAGAACATGTGTCAATATTGACAAATGCCTGTATGACAACGATGGATGTAATCACACATGTAGCAACACTAATCGCTCATTTTCCTGTTCATGTAGTGACGGATATAGTTTACGTGACAATAACATTACATGTGACGATGTCGACGAATGCTTAATTTATAACGGTGGTTGCGGTCAAATTTGCATCAACACAAACGGCTCGTTCAGTTGCCTATGCAGAGATGGATATTTCCTACATGCAAACAGAACATCGTGCGTAGACATCGATGAATGTCTTGATAACAATGGCGGTTGTAACCAAAAATGCGAAAATCAAAATGGATCCTTCAAATGCTTGTGTAATGAAGGGTACCAACTCGACATGGGTTCTCTTTCTTGCCTTGATATAAACGAATGTGAAGAGAAAAATGGTCAATGTGAAGAAACATGCATCAATTTTGATGGAACGTTCATTTGTAATTGCCAACAGAAAAGACTTCTGAATGAAGACGGCTTAACATGTAAAGGTATGATGGCTAATATTGTAACATATTGCAGATTATTTCATTTATGAAAATCAATATAGTCAATAATGATAATAAAATACTATTCTTTTCAGTAATGGAATAGATTTATTATATTTTTAAGCAACAAGGCATTTTAATTTATGATGCAATATATGGACGCGAAATAAATCTTCCTATTGAACCTTAAAAATTGAAAATAAAATAGTAAATGAAAACGTGCTGAAACAGCATTAACTTAATTACATGTATCGTTTCATTACAGATGTTTCTGGTACATTGGTATCATCAACTATACGTCTATCTATAGAAAGTGACACAGCTTTAAGAAACTATACCTTGTATACAGAAATCATGAATGCAGTAATTATATATCATCGCTGTCTATAATGTATTTTTAAAAGTTTCATTAACATAATATTATGTATTTGGCTTGATTTTAAGTGAAATAGATATTAGAGGGTAGAAAAATATACCAAAAATATGTATTGTGTATTTGTACTTTTAAACCTTTTGATATGATCACAATAGTAGTATGAAACTTTGATATACTTGTCAATAAATCTTAGAAACAAGAAATGCAACACAGACAAAATCTACAGTTTTATTTAAATACTTTTCTATGCAATTGCTAAAGGTAATTTATTTTGTTGTAGTTGCAGAGTTACTTCGAAGCAACATTAAAAGATTTAGTTGTCGTTTCTGTCCACTCTATAAGGTTAGTAAAATATATTCTGATATGGGAATTTTTATCAATGAATAAATATTTAAATAAATCAATAAGAAAGATAAAAAAAGAACATGAATTAAAAAATTGAAAAGAATAAAAGAATTAAAAAAATAATTTAATAAATCTTAAATTCGGGGTGATTATATACATGTATATTTATAACTTTTTCCTGTGACTTTTTGTATGACGCTGATTATATTCTAAAAAGATTACACCATAACATTTTTGTACAGTAGATGCAGGAAATATGTTTCATATTTTAAGCTAAAAACTACTATTTCATCTAATGTTGTAATCCATAGATTGTTTTTATTATTTTTATGTACTGTATATATAAAAATTGGTACATATTCTATATTTTGGTTTATACATAATTTATTTTAGTTCGATTTTGTAGGTAGCTATAAGCTTATAGACACACTTTCGAATCCATTCCTGGAAACAATCAGTACTGAACAATGAGTAAAAAGTTTCTTGCTCAGTGAAACAAAGTCTTGCCCCTGACGTGGTTTCAACCCATACGGCTAGCGATCATTAGATTACTTGTCCGACTCGGTAACCACTCGGGCATGCCGCAACAAATTAATAACTTTTTTTTTCTTTCGACTCATAAAATCTGATAATATGATGCTGTCGTATTTAATACAAATTAAACTTTTGTCTCACTGAATGTTCTTGTTGATGGTTATTTGTTAAAACGATAGATTTAGTTTTGGTTGAAGGAAAGAGAATTGCATGAAACATAACTAGTGCATGTCATAACTTGACATACCCTTAAACACAACTGCATTAATCTCAATTTGAAAACAAGCATTTTATCAAATGTAGTCTAAAGCGCTGACAAACTTCAATCATAACAATAAGTATTCTGATAAGATGAATGCATTTGTATTTACAGAGCCGGAAGTATTATTGTAGATTACACAGTCATTATTGATGACAAGGAAAATCAGACTATGTTAGCTGATACAGTTGTTCAGACGATTATCAATTTAGACGAAGATGGAAGCCTGGTTATTGATGGAAAACCTGTTCCTGTGAAACCAAGTAGTTTCTATAACATTAGCTATTCCTTTAATAATTGCAATTTAAGCACAATTTAAGCAAAATACTGAAGTTACTTCATTCTATCCATCTAACGTTTGACCATCAATCCGGTACATGTCAAAAATCTGGAAACAAAGTGATCCCTCGGAAGCATCGGAAGTACAATCACAACACAATTACATGAAAATTGCAGACTCGGTTTGATTGAGTCTGTACATGAGGGATGATTAATGGGTGCAACATCCCTCATGCCCCCTAGCACCGGCTTGAGCGGTACTCAATTTTCAACACTTAAAAGTGTTTGCATCAATAATCCCGATTTGTAGTTTCTTTTTATTTTTTTAATATTTAATAATTTAACATTTGACAAACGGAAACTTTTATGTTTATGACAACATGAAGAACCACTTTTTATTTTATTATTACAATCAAATCCTTTATCTGTCAAATAACATACATTTTTTTTTACTTCAACTAATCTTTAAACGTTTGATTTACAATCATGCCAAAGTTAACACAAGAAATGTCTATCATAACTTATTGTTCTATTTATTCAAATATCCACTTCCAAAAAATTCTCTAAACATATAATATATACATTCTGTATTATATTCATGTATTGAACTTGTGATCGTACATGTCACACTTCAGTTAAATTGTGCTTAACTTCATGTATCATTTATCTATATATATCACATATTTTTTCAGTATTTCCAGCAAATGCTGGTCCATGTGACCTACGTGAACTTCTAGCAGGACCTTGTGATAATAACACAGTTTGTCAAGTTGTTAGCAACAAGCCAATTTGTCGGTATGAGCACAGATTTTAATAATTAAAGTAAAAGTGTGTCAATTTCATAACAGATCTAGCTTTAAGTACAATGACTTGAGGTATCCTTCCTTACAATGTAAATTTAGGGATATGTTTTACACAAATAAACTAAATAATTTATTTTATTTTTCATTTTTTATATTTTTAGGGAGGCAAAAAACAGCATGAAAAACGTCGAAGGTAATACTGTTTTAAATATTTTTTATGTAATATGTTGTAATTCATTTTGTATTTTACATGTAGAATGACATAAATTAAGAAATCTGTCAAAAAGTTTATATTCAATGTTGACCTTGTCGTACTGCAAAATATTAATTTTTATGTTTCTTTTTGTATTCAGTTATGTTTGAGTTCATAGTGTTTTTTTTTAGTTTTGATCAGAGATTGACGATGCGGATATTCCATTTCATATTTCGAAGAATTGTAAAGATGGTTTCTATTGTTCAATACTTCGTGATGTTTATTGCAGAAGAGAGTGATCGTATCATTGTTGGTGTGGTCTTGGGAGTTGTTACTTTCTTAGTGACAGTGGTATTGTTGATAGTTTATGTGTTGAAGAAAAGAAATCATATAAAATGGTAAGGCAATTCTAAGGTACTAAACGTTAGTTTAAATATATGTGTGTTCATCTTCTTGAGCACTACGCCCATAAACATTTTCTTTTTACAAACATTTTTTTCTTATACAACTTAACCAATGTTAAAATACACCTAGGGATTATCCCTTTCAACAAGTGTCAATTGTTTTTTAGGAATTGACACTTTGATTACAATAGGTCTCCATTATTTGTAAGACCTATAACATGCTTGTATTCACAAGTCATATGTGATAAAATAATAAATACATAAATGTTCAAGAACTTCAACCATTATCTGATTAATTCCAGTCTGAAAAACACCCATGTTCTGAAAAAGATATTTTTCAGCAAGAATTTTAAAATTGATATATCAATGAAAACACTTGCTTATTAGCCAACTAGCGAAAAGGATAGTGCATGCACGTGTATATCATTTTATGCATATCGCAAAATATTAATCTAAAAATATAAATCCAATCATTTATTTTAATTAATTACAAAGCATTTGATCGAAAAGCTGTGCACTGTATTCTTTGATGCACGAAGAATTAATATCTTTTATCATTCTAACACTCTAACTCGTCAAGAAAAAAATATATAGTTGGACTTTATGTTCGGTGGTTAAATTTGTTTCCGCCTCAGAGTTTCCAATAGAAACATTCTTTAAAGCCTGCTCTAGTCGGTTGAAAAGGACTGTCGTTAAGTATACTGTTCGAAGAAACATTTTGAGATTAATGAATTTTGTAAATGTTGATAAAATATTTTTGTGTGTGTATATTTTTCAAGTAATTTATAGTGAAATAAATGTGAAATTTAACTGGTTTGTGGCATTGAAAAGCGTTCTTGATTTGACTGTTTTTACTCGCGCTGTTTGGTGCTACATTGTGAGGTCACGTAAACGACACTTTAAACGTCAATTAAAGAAATTGCTGTTCGGATTTATTTTCTTAATTAAGATAGTTTTCAGTACAAAATTCAACAAAAAATGTTTTTATTTATAAGATTTTTTCAAACAAAATGGCGCCGTTAATGTGTCGGATTGAAATTACAGAAGGAAGAAATAAGAACGGCGAGTGCATTGTTGTAGAATAACGCACGTTTCCGGTCTTCTTTGTCTATATAGAAACTTTTCCGATCGTGTTAGACTTCCTTATTAAGCATCCAGTGACATTTTGGTATAGGTTTTCGAATTAGTTTCAACGTACAAAGATATCCAAAATTGTCTTTACACACAGTACCACTGTAAACATGTATGCCTGTTGTTATAATGTGATATATATTTTAACCGATATTTTCTTGACAAAGCCATTTACACAAAAGAAAAACACTTGAGCAATTCTGCCCATGGCGATAACAACAGTTACTATTGTGTAGACTCTCCATTTTGTCAGCGTTTTACTAGTGAGCTGCTCAGAAACAAAGTACATAAAGGGGTCCCAATAAATTTTAATTATTCGCAAAACGTTGATCAACTTAGCATTATCTGTAAAGAAACTGTAGTGGTGTATTTTAAGTGAGAGAAACTCGTATCTGTCCATTCCAGAGAAATAATTAACACTCGGCTTCTTTGGGGCCTCTCTCCATTATTTCTCAGGAATGGACTGATACTTCGCCTTTCTTCCTTGAGTAATTCTTGTCATATTAGTTCTGTGCATGCAAATCCTTAAATTTATTCACATTATTACACAATCCTTTACTTCAGGAGAAAGTGCTTACTACCGGTTAGTTATCAAAGGTTTCGGGGATAGAGATATGACCGGAAATGTACTAAATTTGCCCTAAATACACACAAAAACAAACGAAATCAAACAAACTAAATTGTCTGTCGTAAATATTACCAATTCAATAGTGAAAAATGTAGGATCGCATTTTATTTTATTACATTATTTAATTAGCTAATGTAAGCCATTAAAATTTAAATACATTTGCAGGACACTAAACGGAAGAAAATTATCACGTAAATCAGGTTAGTGAAACAATATTTACACATTTTATTACCACATCAATAATATTAATGGTAACCATTTATATATCTAACCTACCTACGATTTTGAAAGCTTTTCTACTAGCATTTTTTTATAAAAAGGTACTTTCACAATGTTTTAACGTTGCGCCAGGTTCCATTTAGCTTATTATTTTTTTCAATTTCTAAACGATACCTTACAGGACTTGTAAGTGCTCAAATCTCATAAAGTTAATTAAGTAATATCAATATCATACGATGAATATTCCATCAAAACATATTTTGCGGCTAATTAATAATTTGTATGAAGTAAAATAATTATAATTCAATATATGAAATATTTCTGTTGACTTTTTTTCTGGGGTAGAAGAAAATGTTGCACTACCTTACTTAAGCCGGTGGATCCGGAATCTGTCAAAAAAGGCCCCAGTCACCGCTTCTGTACAAAGTGTATGTATGCATTCATAACAGTCTTACTTTCAATTTATATCACTTTCAGAATTTGTATTCATCAAATTAATAATAATAATCAAATTAAGATTCCATGCTTTATCATGATTGAAAACATATTCTGACACACTTTTAATTAAATGTATTAACTACATCTTCGTAACATGCACATTTAATCTTTATTGTAGTTCTTGTTTTTTTTTTTTTTTTTTTTTTTTTTTTTTTTTTTTTTTTTTTGTTTTTTTTGTTTTTTTTTTTAATTTTGAATTTTGACGAATAACGTATGCATACAATTATAGCTGAGCAACCTTTCTTTTTACAGATTGATAAGTGTGTTGACCAAATCTAAGTGCCAGGGATATATTTCCAAAGCTGGTCGCAAGACTTTTACACAAAAACAGTGTTTTTTTTATCCTTCTCGTTTTGACAATTACATTAAACGCTTGAGTATTGCATTTTAATATCATACATATATTTTTTCCAGAAATGACATTAGATATAATATACATTTTTTCCCTTTTTTTGTATTTATAGGTTTTGTTATTGCATTTGTTGTTTTATTATTAAAATATAAATGTATATTACTGTTTAGGGCCGTCAGCTTCTGTTCTGTACAGATAGCACCATGAACGAGCAATAAAAAAACATGCGGTCAAAAAACAGGAAAACCAATAACACCTTATAATGTTTCCCGTCGATAATTTTTGTATATATTTCATATAATGTGTCTCTGTAAAATCATGCAATCATTCCAGTTAAGTCTGGTAATACTGATTTCTATTTTAAATCATGGACGTTTTTTATCAAATGACCACTATTTTACATCAACGGAAAAAAATTGCATCACGATATTGACTTTGAGAACAGGACTGTCTTCCATGTAAAATGTATAATATGTTTGGAATTTCATGGTTTCTGTAAATACAACCATCATTGGTAATTCTTTCAACTTTTTATCTTTATCTTTCTACAATGTTGATCTGTAAATATTATATCAAAGATATTTAGCTCAGATGAGTATAAAATAAATGAATTTTCTTATCGGTCAATATAAATTTGATTACTCAATCTTTTGAATTATTAAAAGAATACTGCTTATAAAGTTAGATGGCAATTTTGACGAAGGTATCTCCGTTTAGTATGCTCTTGGTCTATGTTTATAGCCCTAACCCATTATTATCATCTTAGATCTGTTATACTGTATTATGTTGCTGTTTATGCTTATTGTGGAAGTTTCTTCTTTTCGAAATAAATCCTCTAAATAGCAATGTTTTTTGTTTGTTTTTGGTTCTTTTTTTCTTTTTTTTCTTTTTTGTTTTGTATTTAGTTATGTGTTCTCCAATTAGTAATTAAATTGCTATTATTCGTTTTTAAGAAGTTATTCTTCATACTATTTTTGATATCCAGACTTCATAATCTATGTTCCCCTTCTAAAATTCTGTTTAATTTAGTTCCGCAAAATGTTTTTACGTTTAGCTCGTACGCCGCTTTTCATTTAATGACCCTAACGTTCCAGGATAACCGCCTTATGAACACATCTGCGGATGTTTCCTTATTCGAATGTCCAACATTAAATGTTAAAAATGTTGGTGATAGAGAGGGGGCGTAGGCAGTAGCTTACAATTACCAATACCGTTCATAAACAGACTCAATCAAACCGAACCTGCAATATCTTCAATTCTGTCTCCTTGTTTTGGCGTTATTTAAGAGTTCCCTTTTTCTCAATGTATGTACACGAATTCCAACTGAAATCCATGTATAACAGGAATTTCAATCGATACAGAGCGTAGTCACGTTGGTTAACTCCTTTTTATAGAGATCGACCATTTACACTGCCAGTTTTAGTACAATATAATTGGGTGAACTAACTCCAGTTTCAGGTCTCATATGCATGTAAGCAATATAATGATAATTCAACAAGTCAAGACAGTCAACGCTAACAAGGTCATACTTCTGTCACAGAATCACAGTGAGAAAAATATGCAACATGGCCAAGACTTAAACCCAGGACACTTAGAGTAACGTTCTGTAACTCTACCACTAGAGCTTCCAAGTAGCTTTCAAATTTTCTCCCCTACAACAGTTGAATTAACTTCCATAAAATATACAATGAAAGTTTTCTTTCAATACAATACAATATCTTTATTGCTTCATGGGCCACCAGCCTAAAACAAAACTTAGTTTACAAGTAATTTTACATATGTACAAAACAGTGTAAAAGTGTTATGGTAATAGTACAAATATTTAGTAAAATACGGTAATATACATCAAAATTCACTGCAATTTAAATAGAGAAAAATGTTTTTATACAGTTTGTCTGGAAGAACAATTGCAATTGAGAATTAATTTGATACATTTTCAACAGTTTAACCTCATCCGAAACAAAATGTAAGGCAAAATATGCTACAATGTAGGTAATCGCAAAGCCAAATGTATATATTGAAAAATTTGAACATATCAACATTTCAATATAAGATCAGTTTTACTTTAATATATATGCATATCTCACTCTTCAAAATATGAAATTTATTACACACATAATTGCATCACTGAACATGGCTGTCAGTAGCCAGCGATTGTCTATGTCTAGTGCTTTACAGTAAAACAAGACCCTGAATAATTTGATTTTTATCAAACAAATAGATGACTTAGTTAAGAGTCTTGGATATTGATTTTTGTTGAATTTTGCTGAGTCTCAGATATTGACAAAATAATTTTGTAAGTTCGCAAAAAGCTATTTTATTTGTTAGACCTTGGACTGAGACTGTTCTGATCCTGCAGATTTGTTAGAAGTTTCAAGTGGGTGCAGACATACGGGGTACTTTTCTTGGAGAAACCATATGTTTCTACCATATGTAAAACATGAGTGTCACATACGTTTAACATGTGGTGCATATTTACCTGTGTACTTTTTTTAAAGCTGCATGCCTCTGGACGAGCCAAATTATTTCAAGAAAATTAAACTTGGGGAATGTGTACTAAGATTTTAAGAAAAGTAAAATATTAAAGATTCAAGTGATAATTTATATCTTGTGTGCAATTAATGACTAAGTTTTGCAGTATTTATCACCATATTTCTATTGCGTTTGTAACGCAGTACAAACGCAGTAGGGGCTATTTTTGCATGTTTTGATCTCATTTTGGTAAGTTACATGGTTTATAAGTGCCGATTGCAATGTGTCAATTACATTCTTTGTTCACTTAACAATATTTTACTTTTTATTACATTTTCAAAATTTTCATGAAAATTAGGACATATCTGGAGGCTAGCTGCTTTAATTTATCAAAAAGTAACGAATAATAGGTTGAAATATATCTCTATAAGAAGTATTATAAAATGTTTTAAATAGTTTTTCCTTTTTTTAATTTTACTAGGCTGGTCTAGTTACAATTGTTATTTTGTTTAAGTATGAGTTATTTCCATAAATAAATTATTAAGTAACAAGAAAATATAAGCAATAACATTTGACCTTTGATGGCCAAGGTCATATATTAATTATCCAACATATACGTTTCGTCACAATTGTTGTTTTGCCCACGTTTGATTTTAATCCCTACACAAATAACAAAATTATTACAAAAGTTGACCATGATGGTCAAGTTCATTTCATGCAAGATCAAGGTATATTTAACCTTTAAACAGGTCTTGTCCAAGATAATCCATTCATTTATAACAAATAACAAAGGTTAAGCCATTTTTTATTTATTTATTTATTTCATTTATTTATTGATTAATTTTGCTTGTTTTGTGTTGCACATGAAGATTTGAAATAAGCAATTTTTCATGACACAATTGCAGAATGTCTGTGATACATTTGATATATAAACTAAAGAACCATGCTTGCAAATTTTGCGTACGTTACAGTTACACTATGGTTGCATATCAAATATAACTGCCAAACTTAATTGAAATGCGTAATTAATGGAAAAAAAACCATGAAATACTTATCGAAAGAATACCGATGGCAGTTTTTTAATAAGGGGTGTTTTCAAGTCAAATTACGCAGCCTTTTCAATGTACGCACACAAAAAAACCGTGCCAAATAAACCAACGAAAACCAGTTTTATTGTCGTTTCACTCGGATGAGCTTTGAGAAAAATGATCTCGTCAAAAATTAAAGTGATTTATTTCTTAAAAATAGATAAATCTGCTAAATTACAACAATCTAAAATCTGAAATTTTTAGATGAAAGTTTTTAATTGTTGATAATTTGTGTATAATTTGTGTATTTCGTAATATTTCTCACAATTTGTCCTTTGTTTACAAACATTGTACTTAATAACTAAATAAAGCATGTTACTGTTGGAAAATTTATTATATATAAAATAAAACCAAGAGTCGTTTCATTATGAATGATAGATCGTTAAAATGGCACATTAATTTAATTTTGAATAGATTCATACATATTTGCCACGAGCAACCCGTGATCATGGTTCAAATAGTTTTGGAGACCGCCTACTTGACCTTTGTAACGGTTTAAATTTATGTAAAAGTAACTGTCGTTTAGAAAATGATTTAAACATAGGTAAAACAAACTGTTTTACACATAATGGGAAAAGCCAAGTTGATTTATTGTTGACAGATTTAAGAAATTTTGAGGTACACTTTTTATACAGTGCACTCAAACCATTCACCTGTTCCATGTTGCACAGATATCCCGGACCGCATTTGCTATAGATGGAATCCGGATTATATAAGCATTATATGCAATTATCTTTACATTATATAACACAAAATGTATAACAGTCACTGGTCAGCTTGTTGACATTTTTACTCATTTTTGACAAAAAATGAAAATAAATATTTTTGACACGACGTAAAAACCCAAACCAAACACGTGTATTCTTAACCAATACAGCAATATATTAACGCAATGTCTCGGTTCAATTTTAAATTAGCTGAAAATGAAAATAATTTATACGCTAAAAGATTTGCATTTGTATACATGTATATATGATGTGTAAAGTAAATAACTGCACTCTCGCTATGTTACATGCATGTACTTGAATATGTGAATGACGATGAACTGTTGAGTTCAAGTCAATTTTGTTGAATAAACTTCTGTTCTGTTTTCAGAAAACCATATTTTTTAATTCTCTAGAAATGTTAAATATTTGTATAATAATGTTATTTTTATACTTCTTCAAACCTTTCCGACATTTAAATGCTAATTGTATGTACCGCTATTCGCTAATACAATTATATAAGATGGTGGGAAATGTGACCTCCGCCACCTTTGCAACCGTGATGTCATGGGTACTCCTGACTCCCGACCACCACTGGGATGTCAAGTCGGGAGAACACCTGGCATGCCATCGCAGGAAGACCTTATTGGAGCGTCTGTGCCCCAGGCCGTGCTCTGGTGGAGTCCAGGTCGACGATAGAGTAGGCGGGAACTACCAGTTCCCTCCAATCTGAAGACTTTTTCTATAAAAATACATTATAAAATACATGTACATTCAATTGACTTACATAATAAACGCTAAAAATAGTTGTATTTTCTAATTAAAGGGAAGCAAATGCAACGATACATGTGTCAAGTAAATCTATGTTTGTTATCTCCCCTCTTCTGTCAGTGCACTTTATTACATTGAGAGAATTTAACTATTCATGGAATTTCTTTTTTATTCCTTATCATTTTGTTGTTGTTAAGCACCAGACTTCTCCATTTATACCTTGATAATGATTCTCATGTTTACTGAAATAGTATATTCAGTTAAATACTTATCATGCACCGTGATATTGTGCTATATGTATAAAAATGCTGATATGTATGGTGGCATATTTCTGCCACCAGATAACCTGATAATTAACTAGTTAATTAAGAGGTTAACTAGTTACGTAACTAGTTAACCTCTTAATTAACTAGTTAATTATCAGGTTAACTAGTTACGTAACTAGTTAATTTTTTCAATAAAGAAAAGATCATAACGGGAAATAAATGCATGTTTGTGCCCGCAACTGCCATCCCTTATTGTCAGCTTAATATTAAGAGGTTAACTAGTTACGTAACTAGTTAACCTCTTAATTAACTAGTTTGTTATCAGGTTATCTGTTGGCAGAAATATGCCACCATAGATATGGCTATTGAAATCGTCAATTTAATACTACGCACGTATTTGTTATTATTATTATTTTCTTTCTTTTTTAGTTTCCGTTTTTCATTAACTTAGGAAACTTAATTACATTTTCAATATTGATGTTCTATGTCAATCCAGTGACAACTTGTATTTCAATCGAATCACGTTA